TATTTGGTATCTAAGTCTCTGTCCACGTTGTGGACTAGTACGTGTGAGAAAGCACACGTGGTTCTGAACGTTCTAGCAGGGAACGCTTCATAACACAAGCCAGATCTTCATGTCAGCCTGTCAAGCCTGCAGGTGCTGATAGTGCTGCATTGATATCTGTACACCGAGGTTAGTGCACTTCAGCAGACGTCTCATCAAGATGCAGTCTAACTTAGGCATGGGCTTTGTTATCATTAGCATCAAGGATGGACCTTGTGGCACCTCGTAGGCAGTCTTGTGCGAATCACTATCGAGTTGGGCCTTCATTACAACCCAACGTTGCAGCAGAATACCTTCTCCGAGGAGGAGTGTCAGTTGCGCATTTGGCTGTGGACGATCGTCCTTCTGTATGACCGTGGTACATCGATTCTACTAGGCCACCTGCTTGCAATTGCGCTGTCAGACTCAAACATGCCACAGCCATCACAGACCAAGTCGACAGACGTTTCGAAGCACTTTGTGCTGTCGGCGCCGATCACAGAGATTCAGGTAGACATCATCAACTTGCTGTATGTGCCGATTCGGCAGAGCGCGGATGCGATCATGTGCCATGTGACACAGATAATTAAGAGCATGGCGTCGTTCAGACAGCAGCTGCCAGAGAACTACCAGTGGTTCTTTGGTGGGATGCAGATGTGGCCACTCGAGTGTAGGATGAAGCTAGTCCAGGACATTACAGAGGACCAGAGACTGATGCTGTTGAAGATTGGGATTACAAGGATCCTCCTCTTGTGAGTGCTGTTCAGCTCGAGCGAGCTCGACTACAATCCGCGTCTGCAAGCTTTGACAGATGGTGAGTAAATCACTTATGGTTCGTCAAATAGTCAGTTTATGGATCTTCGCAGCTATCATCACGTCGCACAACATCATCATCATGTATAACCAGCTCATTTGCTTCCCGGACATCACGTTCTTCGTATCGCCCATCCTGCTCCACATCACCGCGATGGTCATCCTATATGGGCACATGTCACACTGCCACTCGATCATGCATCAGGTTGCACTGGGGGACATGTGAATGGTGCTCGACATGCTGCCGAGCTTCCCCTGGCGATGGGAGTGCAAGGACCTGAACGGTGGACACCCACTGATCATGGCACTCACCGAGAAGGTGCTCAACGTGAACCTGCAGCAGGTCACGCTGACGACTGTGCCGATGCTGATCTCCGAGTATGTGTGGGATAAGAAGATCCTGTCACCGAAGGGCGTCGTGCAGGCGGATGTGCCGCTGGTGAGCCCATTGATGGGGCCTGTGCAGTACGGGGGCACGCTGGCATCGCCGTTCAGTGGACAGCCACTGAGTGAGAACATGAGCAAGGGCAGCCCAGGTCATGCAAACATGGGGGGCACGCCTCGCACGCCGGTGGATAAGAAGCTTTTGAAGGTGCCTGCGGGTTGTTCTATCCCTTCTATCCAGAAAACCAGAACGTCACGACGGGTGCTGCTGCTGCTGCTGCTGCTGCTGCAGCCTCGATGAGTGAGAACGGCGGGCAGGACTTTAATGATTTATTGGTGGCTGCTGCGGCGTCACAGCCAATAGGGACATTTGGGTACCAGCTGTCACATGAGTCATACATGCTGGAGGAGAAGGATATGTCGATTATGAATAGGGCGATGCAGATGTGGGTGAGTAGGTGATTCGCTGTTGGAGTGTTAGGAGTCGGAAAGCTGATGGTGGTTTGTGCTGCAGCATGTTCAGAGACCAGTAGCGCAGCAGTTCACTGTTCAGCCTCAGCAGCAGGGATGAATGTGGGTGCGAGTGATTTGTGGTAGGTATTACTCCTTACTCATCAGTACGGTTAAGATTATGTGAAAGTTTGCTGTCGACGATGCTATTTTGTGTATAGTAGTAGTATGCATTCAGGTCGGGTTCGTTCGTCACCTTGTCGTTTTCTTTTTGTGCATATCCAAGCAGTATGCACAGTGTTGTATGTATTATGTACAGTGCACGCCACATGTGCGGGCATGAAATACAGACAGTTCTATATGTAGTGGCATGTGTATAGACACAATGCAATAGGGGGGGTATCTAAGGTAGGGTGGGTGTGGACGGCACATATACAAGAGCAGGGGGGTCTAGAAATACATGCAAGGAATATATATGTGAGGAGGGGCTGAGGAAGGGGGGCATGCATTTGTTGTCGATGACACTGTTTTGTGTATAGTAGTATTAGTACGTGTTCGGCCGGGTTCATTCGTCACCTTGTCATTTTTGTTCTTGCATATCCAAGCAGTATGCGCAGTGTATGTATTATATACAATGCACGCCACACGTGCAGGCATGAAATACAGATGGTTCTATGTAGCGGCACATGTACAGAGATAATGCAGCAGGGGAGGTATCTGAGGTAGGATGTGGACGACACATATGCAAGAGCAGGGGGCAGTTCTACAGATACATGAAAGGAATATATATGTAGGGAGGGGCGGGCATCACCTGAGTATGCGCTCATCCTCTCGAGAACGACGACGAGCCCATGGAGGAGGCCATATATGCATGCATTGAGGAGGGCAGTGTGTTGTCCATCATCGGTGTCAGCATTGGAGTTGGAGTTGGCACCACGCTTGTGCATGACGGCGTGGTCAATGACGATGGGGAGAGTGATGGTGAGGCAGGTGAGGTGGAGGGCGAGGCAGGAGCGGTGGTGGAGGTCAAAGTAGGAGAGTGCGTGGAGGGTGCACTGGACCTCGAGGAGGTGCATGAGCTCATTGTGGAGCACGAGGAGACATGTGCGGCAGGCTGCATGGGAATGAAATTCAGTGAATGGGAAGGAGGGGGGGGAAAGCAGGGGGGGCTGACTGAGCACACGTTCGCAGATGGATTGGAGGGTGAGGAGGACAGAGTTGATGCCATCTTTATTGAGGTGCAACGATGGGTTCATGTCGTTCACTGTGCCTACGCATATACATACCCACCATCAGCACGCACACTCCGATTCATACCATCACAATGGAGCAGCTCACTGAGCAATGTGCGCATGACATCGAGGTCACCCTCGAGGAGCTCATTGAAGACGCTGATGATGACGCCATGGAAGGTGTCCTCAGTCAGGGGGCGTGAGCACACGGCGAACATGTCGTAGGAGGTGGAGGAGGAGGCGTGGTCATAGGTGCATTTGGAGGCAGGTTGGGAGAGGACGTCATAGGTGATGGAGACTTTTTAGAAGGCACGGGTGGTGAAGGGGTCATTGTGGAATTTGCTGGGGTGGAGGTTAGCGAATGTTAAGGAGGGAAGTATTTTTTGAAGGTATGTCATGCATCATAGATGAGCGCGGATTGCAATGAAGCACTCGCAGAGCACTATGTATACGCTACTCACAAGCCATTGAAGTGCACTTCTGCCACATCCGCTCAGGCTATTTTTCTACAACAATTCACCGCTATAGAGTGATCGAGACTCTGAACTCATGCCATGGCCATCTGCACTTCGATGGCAAATCAAATGTCGGAGCAGTGAGCTGCTCTATGCCTCTTCAAGGCAGTGCCGTGGTGGGGTAGGCCAAATGTGGAGCATCCTGGGCCTGAACTCTGAGCAGAATCTGGGTGCCTGGGATGTGCCAAGGGAGAGCGTGAGGAACACCTGCCCGGCACGCACTGCGTGATAAAAACACAGAGCAAAACAAGTGAAGCAAGATGCTAAGGAAAGGGTGGGTCTGGGTGGATGGGAAGAAGATGATGCGTGGTGTCGTGGAGACGAGTTGGGAGGTGGTGGTCACAGGACAAAGCACACTGGTGGCTGCGTCACACGTTCATTCTGCGACATGCCATCACGAGTCTCAGGATTCGATGGGACAGTGTCATGATCGAATCCCTGCACATGTACGAATGCATGGAAGCCTGAGAAGTCTCCAACGGGCATTACGACCCACTCCACGTGTTCAACCACATGCATACATCCATCTCGCAGACAATGCACAAGAAGTAGTACTCACTCTGGATGGCATACCCTGCTCGGAGAGAGATATGCATGGTGAAGAGTGAGCTTATCTATACGCGATGTCCGCTGCAGGCCAAGGATCCAGTACAGGTCATCCTGCTCCAAAATATCCTGTATGACTGTCCTGTTTTGGGTGCGCGGTGTGGTGGACGATGAAGGTGTCGGCAGGGCATCAGTGTTGTCTGAATCAGTATGATCTGCAGATCAGAGGGAGGGGTCCCATGTGATGTGATAGAGGGCATCACCATTGTTGGGCTCGTCCTCGATGGGGAAGTGAAAATAGGACGTCACTGCAGGGGGTCAGAAGGGGGTCATGGTGGGAGGGGTGGGGCTTACCTGAGCTGAGGACGTAGGAGAGCGGACAGTGGATGGCAATCATGCATGGTTGCAATGCATTTCCATGTGCGTGCATGTAATTTTCCATCAACAGTCTAGGGCATCGATCATCACATCGAGTTTGATCGACATCCTCTACCGCCGGCGTGATCTGCTTGACTCCGATATCTCCCTACAAACTCCATCCACTCTTCCCTGCTTCTTCGACAGGGTTGACACAGCCTGCTCACTTGCATTAGCATCATCCACGTGCTTTCTACATTTACGCTGACAACAGTGGCACTCGCGTTCAGCTCCAGCTCACCACCTGACTTCTGCAAGCATAGCTGGAAATGCCAAGCCACGAGTCGTCCATCCAGCTATCAGAGAATCATTCAGCAAGACAAGCACTGACTAGAATTTGAGTATGAGCCTATCCGGACAGTATATTTCAATGGTAAAATAAAGTCTGGATGGGCTGCAATAGACTGATAAAGTGCAAGAAGGACAAGTAGCTCCATGTCGAGCCTAGAGCTGCACCTTTCGACCACAGCACTCAAGACCAACACGAAATCGTGAGATCATATGTAAGTGTATGGTATCGTTGAGACACTTGCCAACATATAGGCGTCATCGATTCATCCTTCGATCAAATGGTGTGAACATCACCAAGTGACGAGCATACAGGACAGTCAGGACTACTAGGATGCATGAGCCAGCATAGCATCCTGGAAGATACATCTCATGCAGCCACAGTCCTTGCTGCTTTCATGGTGACAGCTGTACCTCACACCTGTACGGGTCATGCAGGGCGCTTCTACTTAGTCTGAGTTCATCGTATTATACGCATCGCATATTCCGTGTTGCCTCTATTGAGTATGCTGAATGCATTGACAAAGTTGCAGCATTTTATGCATTGTTCAATCAAATACTGTCAATTTATTGTGAAGTGACAGTCTCATGTGCAATTGTCCGCGGTCCAGCAACAAATTTGAGTATGGTCATTGACTAAACACAGGCCACCCGAATGAGGTGGATGAATGTGTCACGATTCCCAGCAACTGAGTGCATGAATGCTCACGTCTGATATGCCTGCTGGCAAGCACTGCATGCAAGCCCACACCTCGAATGTGCCGTGAACATATAGCTATACGCGAAGAATGTCATACACTCAAGCAGAGATGGTAACCTCGACCTCAACACCAGGCTCCAGACTGATGCTCGTCTACCATCAAACATAGGTGACAATGAAACAGAAATGACTGTAACACGCGATCTGCTTCACGATCTCACTCAAGAAGTGAAGGTCAATGAGGCACTTGTGGATCTTGAGCTCATAGCGGTCCCAGATCTTCGAACTCTCACCGCAAGGCTGGCATGGCAGAGATGAGTCACCATCAGCACTCAGGGCAGATGAAATGGCAGGCATGTACCATCTTGCAGGTGGTGATTTGAGGACCTTGGTCGGGAGGCGCACGGATCCCCTGACATGAAGCTGCTTGTCCTTCGCACAATCAATCAGTTCTTTTGAAACTAGATGTACATGAACCTGTTAGCATCATACGACACCATGCCCACTGATGACGCTATGCTATGCACACTTCTCAGGATTCTTGACATTGCTGCTCGTGAGCGTGATGCAGATCTTGTGGATTTTGGCTTTGGGGAGGGGCGTGCCCATCGCATCGTATTCTTTCTCACCTTTAGCGACGTAACTCATCCTTCTCTTTATGAACAGAGAGTCAGAAGGTGACTAATGCAAGCATTATCAGCATGGAAGGTGAGAGGCAGTGGGGCAGCACACATGTACCTGAAAGTGGATGGTGAGAAAATAGAGTTCACAAAAAAGAGTTCTGGGCTCAGCAAATGCCATGATGGATTGATCAGGCATTGGGCGCTTGTTGGCTGCACTGTCTGTCTCTCACCACACATCCAAGTACCACTTATGCAAGGTATGGCTGCACGATGCCACGCCATTTTCAGCTCTCACAATTTACTCTACACATGCTTCAACAAGTATTACTCACCCGATTATGACGGAGAAAAACACAGCAGCCTCAATGCTTACTGAGGTGCGCATGCTAGTCCATCCCTCTCGCCTCTCGTCTATGCTAACTGTACATTATACACCACTTCTTAGGCAAACATGCACTCGATGATGTGCATGCAAGATTGACCAAGGCATTTTCATCGTGCGCTTTGAGCTCCCGTTCAATATCTGGTGGTGCATCCATATACCTTCCTCTCCGTCCTCATCCTCGAACTTAACCATGAACTCTGCCTCAGTGGAACATGCAACAACCACATCGGAATGGGCGTGCATTACAACACGGAGAAACGCAAGATCGGAAGTTACTACTCGATGCCGATCTACGCATTCCAGTGCAAGTGTCACCTGTGCGATGCGTGGTTTGAGATCCAGACAGATCTGAAGGTGTGAGGCTAATCTCTTCTTTATCATCTTGATGATTGATCAGATGCTTTGGCAGATTGATGCTAGAATACGAGGTATGTCATGACGGAGGGCGCGCGGCAGAAGGACGAAGAGTGGGACCTGGCAGAGAACAGCGGGTTCACCGTGCACGGTGAGTACAAATGCTCATGAGCATTTCATGTCCCCATTCTGACCATCGCCCCAGACACGGACCCAAACCAACTGCCCCCAGACCCGCTCGCTACACTCGAGAAGACAACTGCAGCTGAGGCACATCTCACGCAAGTCACCCTCCCATGGCTCACCGTACTCCAATCCTTCTCTGACCAGCACAACTCAGACCCCTGCTCCCTCTCGCACATCATGCGCAAGCAGTTTTGCGAGGAAAAGAAGGTGGAGGTAGAGGCACATGCGGAGGAGGAGGGCGTGAAGGCACAGTTCGGGCTGCCTGAAGAGCTGAGGCTCGAGCAGGAGAGCGAGGAGAGCAGGTGTGAGGTGAAGGAGAGATGGAGGGAGGAGCAGGAGAGGAGAATGGGGGAGGGTGTGGGGGTGAAGAGGAGGAGGCTCGAGGGTGTGAGCATGGCGGGGATCCTGTCGCAGAGCAAAGCGAGGTCGATGGGAGGCATGGCTGTGGGCGGGGCGGTGTCTGAGCTCAGAGTGAAGATATTGGAGAATACGGTGAGGCGGGTGACCCCAATAGCAGGCCGGTCAAGGCCTTCATCAGATGGGGGCCTGCAGAAGGGCTTGTCATTCAGACGATAGGCAGGTGGCTGGTGGACTCGTCCTGCTAATGTAATTGTATGTGGAGATATCTAGATACCCTCAATCATTGGTGTAGCAGTACAGCTGATATTATTTCTGCTACGTCAGTAGTGAGTCTTGTGGCCCTGAACTGCGCCAACACATAACAGGCTCTCCTGAGAAAAATGCATGATCAGGGGATCATACCGGCCCTAAAGTGATCACTCCACTGATTCGTCATGTCTCGTGATCTCCTTCCCTGTGCTGTGTTTTCGTGTGCTGCATTTTCTCATTGTGACATGGATCCTACGGTAACCATCAGTAACCATCAATTGAAATGATCAAGAAGCTAAGTGTGTTCCTCTTCCTGAATGTTTTATTTTGGGGCAAACAACAATATGAAGCGTCATTGCATTTTTCTGTCTTCGCTCATGTTGTGAATCGCTGTGCATGGATTCTATGATAACCATTAATTGAGATGATCAAAAAGCCTTCAGCGTGTTCCCCTTCCTGAATATTCTATTTTGAGGCAAACAACAAAATGAAGTTTTATTGCGTGTGCGACAATGTCAAACAGAACATGACCATTGTGTGTAACTGCCGCGCTCATCGTAGTGGGCACTGCCGGCACCGGCCCTACCTCCTTATTAGTAGAGCCATGTTGAATGCATGCATGGTTGATTGATTGAGCGCCTGGCAGTATTAAGTTGATTTGATCAGAACATACGAGTCAATATTGCTTTCTCCCACATCCATGCTCACTGTCTCTCCTCTGCTCTAGACATTCACTCACGATGACCATCCCACCCGCATCTTTGCCCTCCCCCATCTTGATTACTGTCTTCACTGGCTTCCTCGGCACAGGCAAAACGTCGATCATCCTCTCGTTGTTGCCACAGCTGCCCCCGGACTACTGCATTGTGCTGCTCAAGAATGAGTTTGGTGTTGTTGAGGGTGCACGCTCTCACGCGACATCTGAGTCAGTGCTGATAGCTGCACAGTGGACAGCCAGCTGGTGAAGCAATCGAGCCTGGTGGCAGTGAGCGAGATCCTGAATGGATGCATGTCAGTGCACGAGGACGCTCAGGTGCGAGGATGCTCAGGCGCGAGTCAATGCAGGCTGATAAGCTGCAAGGTGCTGCATTCTGGTCGGGCAGATGAAGACGGCATTGCTGGAGATACTGAGTATATGATGGCCTCTCATACTACTTACGTTCTTTGAGCTAACCTGTATGTGTTTGCACAGAGAAGTACCGTTCGGACAGGATCATCATCGAATGCTCATCAGTGACCTGTCTCCTTTCACATTTTTATGTCCACTGAGTAGAAAATGTAGGGGCTCAGCCTTCCCTGCAATGCTCACTTTTCAGATTTGTGAGCTTGAATGTGAGATGGGCGGGAAGTTGAAGCTGGACGTGATCGTGACTGTCATTGACGTGAAGAACTTTGTAGGATATGAGGACTCGTCACCCACCACGCAGATGCAAGCCAGCTACACGGACATCATCCTCATTGTGTGCCCCCTTCTCTTGTCATTATCCACATTTGCACTCATGGATATCTATTTCCCACAGAACAAATCAGAGCACATCTCAGAGCGCACGCTGGACATCCTCGTCGATCATCTGAACACGCTTAACGACCTGACACTGAAGGTGCGGTGCAAGGGCTGAGAGGGCGTCAACCCTAGGCTGATCTTCGGGCTGGACTCGAAGCTGTTCCTCAGAAGTGCAAACATGGAGAGCGTGGAGGTGCCGCATCATGAGGAGGTCAAAACAGTCACTGTGTACGCTGGCTCGGGCAATGTACATACGCACGTGCACAGCACGGGCTGTGGTTGCATGGGCGATCACGAGGAGATGCATCCCACTTCAGAGCCAGTTGACAAAGCATGGCTAGAGGAAGCGCTCAGCAGCCTGTCGAAGGAGATGGTATGGTGGGTGAATGGATTCGTGCGGCTCTCTCAGGGACCGTGGATAGTAAATTGGGCATTTGGGTGGTACGACGTGCTTGAGACAGGCACGGGTGGGCTGAAGGATGGTGATGGGCTGCTGGTGACAGTTATAGGTGAGCACGGAGACATGAGGTGGGCTGCGTAGAGGTTTGCAGAAAGGCTTGGGGTGTGGGTGGGTTGAGTGTGGGTGAAATAGTGAAATAGAGTAGAAATTATGATGTCTCAGGCCTCAGGCCTCATGTTCAATATTCAATGCTTTCATTGGAGTCACAAGTAAAGTTGGGGTCATGCTTTGCATGAATGAAGACTTCACCACGGGGCCCAGGATCTTTGCACGCCACTGCTCACATCAGCCATGACAGTAAGCTTCGAGACCTTAACACCTTTACCTACTTTAATATCAATTCTTGTGAATTACATGTCACGTTGGTTATAGGATCCAGTAGAATTGATGTTTTGTTTTGTGTAAATGTGGAGGGCATGCAGTGGCGGGCGTCAGAATGTGTAGCAGCAGGTGATCAAGACATGCGATGCACTCACGGCCTTGCCCATGGCCGACTACCCACAGCGCCCTTCGCCGATTCGTGATGTTTCCCTTTTGCATGGCTGTTTGTTGCTCTAGATATTCTGTGCTCACCATGCTCAGTGCTGTGCCTGACTTTCTGTTAACACTTCTCCTGAGACTGGGACATCATGTCTTCTCGCCCCGAAGCTGGGAGACCTGCTCGGGGTTGCTCGACACTTTCTACGTCATGCGAGCACACACCATACTTGTGCACGTGGCTTTTCTCGGTGCTTTGTTCATAGGCTGTGCTCTGCAATACAAGAAAATTGTGAAGAATGGCATTGCCGGATACCCAGAGGAGTGGTTTCCTCAGTGTCTGCAATGTGAGTGGTTGCTTCTTGCTGCTTGCTTTCATGGGAATTGACCACTGTCAGTATTGGTGACTGGTATCCAGAGCGGAATGTTTTCCAGATTCTGATCGCTCTGAACTCTGGTATGTCATACGATGGTGTCTCGCAGAATCGTTTGACTGGAAATCCTTCCTCAGGATTGCAACTCGTGCTGGTTCTCATGCAGTACTACCTTCATCGAAATTCAAATTCCTGGCTCCCTGGGCTCGTTATGGTCGCTGGCGTGATCAAAACGCTGTCCTGCGGTGGTTGGATGTATATCACCTTTACAGATGACCACGATGCACACGATGTCCTGATAATTGGATATATTGTTCTCAACCTATCATGGATGTTCGAGTCACTTGCGAATACTCCCATGCAATATACGCATGCTCTGTGCAGAAGGTGTGTTGCATTCTTCAGATTCATGTTCTGCACTCATTGTCGAGAAGACACCAGATGGCTACAGCATGTGTGGATGAGCACCAGGAATTCGATTATAATAATTCACTTTCCGTTCAGATTCTTTGTGGCAATGATCCCATATGATTTACTTTTTCATCCAGCACAAGGTCCATCGCATTCCAGGAGGTCCATCCCATGATTTTTTTTGAACTATCTGTATATCATTCGGTGACCAACAGCATATACAAAGTACAGCTTTTTCGAGTGGGGGCTGATTTTTTTCGACGTGATGTTCGACTCAGCTGTCGAGCTCGAGGTCAAAGCGGCCAACCTCCAGGTACGCACGGTGATAATTTCTGCCAACAATCGAAGCCACGCTCATCAACTACCATTCTCCAGATCATGATGGGCATATCCCTCAATAGAAGCCCAGAGCCAAATGATATGTACATACAGGTCCATCGGCTTGCATAATGAATTTTGATGACCTCTGTCCTGTGTAGCGTGCTCGATCAAACAGCAGTCACCCGCGTGACCTCTGTCTCCTCCGAAGTCAAGAAAGTAACCCAAGTGATCACCAGAGCAGATAGCTCTGAGGCTGTGGCCGTCTCTCCTGCTGGCTCGTCCCTAGACCAATTAAGATCTGCTGTGAACTTTCTGAGTGATCTATACCTGTGTATGTCTGCTGTCCTCAATGATCGTGCATTAATTGTGACACCATCCACCCACCAGCCTTCATTTACTGGTTGATATTCACCTCACTCATGCTGACATTCTTCTACTTCTCCATTTGGGAGCTCGCTATCATGGGCCATGAGCTGTCCCTACTCTCTGTCCTCTCCCCCATGCTGCTCGGCATGCGGCCCTTCCAACGATGGTGTCACACACACGTCGGGCACACCACGCTGCATGTCTTATCACTGATGGGCTTGGGCACGTACAAGCTGGAGAGCTCGCTGCATCGGCTGTTTGCTGTGGTGTTCGCCACTATGGTGGTGAATGTGGGAGCTGCGGTCAATTGGACTGACATGACAGACGAGGGTGTGGGCTATCATAGCATGTGTGAGTTCACGTGATTCTGGTTTTTTGTCGTGTTTGGTGTCATACGAGTCCCTCGTATAGTGATGGGTTTAGGGTTCCTGCTGTCGTCTATTGCAAAATATGCAAACCACTCCAACAATCCAGGTAGGTTCATGGTATGTTGACTGAGATGACGATGCGTGATTAAATTATGTACAGTGTGGCCCATCGTCAATGAGCAGTCTGGCAGATACAACAAGACCGGCCTCCTCCTCGCCATCCTTGCCATCTGCAACTATGCCACTTGAGCAAGGACCTCTTCAGTTGCAAAAGCGCCATCTGTCAAAAACGTGCAGGAATCTATCAGGTCCTGGCTACGCAATGCCATCTCCCTCAGCACGCTCATCTTCACCCTCCACTGCCTGCTCACAGACCCCGGCACACTCATCACCTGGTCCTGGACTGGTTACCCAATCAAAGACCCCGTCCTGCACCTACACGACTCCTTCACACATGTCGCACAGGCCCTTGGGCTCTGCCTCCCCCTCCTCCTCCTCTCGCTCTCCAGTCTGCTCTGGTTCACATGCAGCTGCGCCAGCACATATGCGCTGTACATGCTTTCTGACTGGCTGGGGTACGCGGGCAGGCTGGGCTTCGTGGTGTTCCTCATGTCGATCACCCCTGGGTTGCTGCAGCGCACAGCGTGGATGGGCCATGTCGTGAAGACATACTTTGTCATGTGGTTCGTGGTGATCGTGTTCTATTTTGCGAGCGTGTTCATGGTGGCATATGCATTCGTGCCCTGGGGGGAGGTATACTTCTGGGAGCGGACGGACCTGTGAGTGGTCGATATGCTGTCATTTCGTGGCTGATCTGCACTGATCTTCTATATTCTAGTGTCCTGCTTGCACAAATGGTGGAGATAGCTCTGGCATTTGACTGGTCATGTGGCAAGGTGTCCGCTTCGCATATGAGCCTAACAAGACCTGTGCACACTGCCAGCTATGCTGCGCTCTCCCTGCTTTGTGCGCTCTCACTGCTCGTGATGATGTACAGGTCGCCGGTGGCCATCATTCAGCTGCACTGCCCCAGCTCACACCTCGTCCATGTGGGGATATGGACAGTACACTTTGGCATTGACAATGAGGGGAGGGACAGCCAGCGGCACATGAGGAACTTGATCAAATGCATGTGTGTGAGTGTGGTCAGGGCGGTGGAGGCTGATGCTGATGCTGATCGGTGGGAGGGATATGGAGTTGGACGTCATCGGGCTGCTGAAAACGGACCTACACATGAGTGCGCCATTCATCTTGGGTATACGTACTGAGGAGATATTCTGCATAATGTGATAGTGGACAGTGTTTGGCAACTGAGACTTGTGCATGGTTCCATGCTTACAGACTTTCGATGGCTGATCAGACACAGAATGTGGGTCATGGTGGAGGATCTCGGTTTTGTGAGTTTCATGATATTCTTCTGATATTCATTGCAGGCTCCTCACCCGAAAACAGTATGTCGATATTGGTCCTGGTCTGAACAAGCACACATGGGGGGCTGTTCTTCTTTCCAAAATAAGTGCAATAATTCAATCATTCGTCCATATCTTGACACCATGTATTGCAGTGTCGATTATCAACTCGACTCATCATCTGCTCCTGTCCCCCAATGGTGAGCTTGCTCCTGCTATAGAGGCTGTGCTGGACATGTACGGAACACCGGTGACAGTGGTCATCGCGCATAATGGACAAGGTCATTCATGATGCCGTTCGTGATGGGTAGCGATTGCTGATTGTCTCATCTCAGAGAAAACACCACTGCATTGTGAGCTTCAAGCTACAGAGTTGGCTCACATCATGTCAAAGTCATATCCAGATCCTGTTTTGTATCTCGGATATGTAGTCATGCAGCCACTGGCACAAAAACGTACATATTTGCCATTTGCACTGTGCTCTATGATGCTGATGTCTTCCAAAGCTGTGCCCTATGAGATCATGGTAACTGATGGCCGTGTGCACGACATCGATGAGACAGATTGGGACAGATGGTGCGAATGTTGTCATGCTCCCTACTTCAGCTGAATGATGCTGGGAGCAGGTGCGAATACATATTCTACCATGGCCTCTACTGCATCGCATATGCTCGTGTGTCGAGGAGCACTATCATGGACACGGAAATGCAAATCGAACAGTTTGTCATACTGCGACCAGATTCGGGTGCAATTGCAGATGATCATGATTCTCGATACCTGCGGACATGGAAGGAAGAACTCCCGCCAGACCACGTATGTCGTGTGCTTTGGCTTGGCCTGTACATGGTTGCTAAAACAGTATGTGATGGCAGTGGTTCCCTATGGAATACTATCATGAGACCGGGGGCGTAAGAGGACACTTCTACCATGTCTTTGATATGGTGCGTAGGTCTTCCGTTCCAGCAGCGCTCCCTAACAACACCCACGCAGCCTTTGTACTACAAGCTTCCGGAGGGAGTTGCATTGTAATCAAAACTAATAGTACTGCATCAGGACACACACCATATTGTTGGACTATCTATGTATTCAGCCGTCGTCATTGTCTTCTCTGTTGTTCTCATCGACGTTATCCTCGCTATCAGATTCCTCATCATCCTCGCTCTTCTCTTCCTCGATCTCCTCACTCTCACTTTCCTCCTCTTCCTCTTCCTCATTTTCCTTTTCTTCATTGATATCTGCATAAAACTGATCCAGATCCATATAAGTTCCCTTGGGCCCATCCTGGCTGCTGAAAGAACCAGAAGGAGGGGTCCCATCAGTAGAAGTCAGGATGATGGGTGAGGTTCTGGCAGTGATAGAGCCTGGCCCTACTCCCTGCAAGGATATCTGTGTGACTGCAGGCATGGGTGGCACGTCATCCTCGGAGTCACGTAGAGAGGGCTCTGTGCCCTCTTCGAGCCAGTCAGGGAGATGGCCTTCCATGGATTCCTTGCCAGTGATGCTTCCCAAAGTGCCAAACGGCAGCCACTCCTCATCTACACTGATACATATCATCATCCGAAATGCAGGTCATGGTGCAGATGCCTACCATGTCTGATATTTTCTGACATGCTGAGCTTGCCTTCGAACAACACCATACGAACCTGTTCTCGTCATAGTGTGACACCTCCTGGATCCTCGTACGACTCTCCATCATGTGCCACAGTGGCATTCACATCCAAGAGAAGTGAGCTGAGCATGTGAGCACAGTCACGTACATCAAAGTTCAAGTCATAGCATGCCAGAGAGAACACATGGCGACTGAGCAAATCATGAGTGCAGTCAGTGGGGGACAGTACGAGCAGCTTTGCAATGAGCTGAACTATCTCAGGAACATGTCTCGGTGGAGCGTACAAAGCTGAACCACAGAGTGCTCAACGTGCAATGGAAGCAGAAGGACAACCTTACAGAGGAGTGCAAAATTCAAGCGAGCATCGATTTGCAGTTACGGAAGTGAGTTCATCTCATTTAGCCACACCGAATAGTGCGATTCATTCATTCACCTAGCTTGAAGCAGTTGGAGGATGCCTCACATAGAAAGTTCGAGGCGCTGGAAAAATGGGACAGTGATTGTGCTGATGTCATTGTCTGGTTGAGGAATAATCACCACAAATTCAAGATAGAGGTGTTTGAGCCTCCAATGTTGTGCCTTACAGTCCCGAACAGCAAGTTCGTGCACGCAGTCGAGGTGTGTTTCCCCTCCAGTGCCCTGAAGGTAGTCCCATTTCTTGAGTTCGTGAGATTAAAATAATATTTTGTGCCTCAGACATTCATCGCGCAATGTGAAGAGGACTATTCACTGCTAAACCAGATGCTGATTGATACTCCTGACACGATCAGTCACCGCACACGTGTTCATACTTGGTTCAAAGTTGATGACGGTCAAGTGCCACCTCCTCCAATGACTCAAGAAGAGGTAAGCATTATTTTGGCAACACGAGCTCTTCTAACGATATGATCACAGATGCGTGAGCTGGGTTTTGATGGTTATGCAATTGACTATGTAGACTGCTCCGAGGGACTCAAGTGGTTTCTGAAGGCGAACTTGATGCTAAATCGCACTGCAAGTTGCACCACCTCTGCAGTCTCCTTGGCTAGTCGCGTCACTCACTCTCTTCCTCGCGCAATAGGCTATCGCTCTGAATCCTCAAGGTGTTGATTCAACCCGCGCAATGGAGCTGGTATCGTGTAGTGGTTCTCGTGCTGAAGGTGGCAGTGGTAGCTATATTGTTGGGACTGTCTACAACAATGTCAGCTGCTCCAAGTATGACAAGCGCCTGTTGAAAAACACTACGAGAACCATCTCGTAGGCTGGAAATCTGGTGTTAGAAGCACGTAAGCCATATAATAAAGCAATATGGCCACTGTTAATGTCATGTGGTATCATCAGTCAATCAGAATGTGAAGCGTGAATATGAGGTGGCCCTCGCTGGCTCTCGCAGACAGCCTGCAGCATGCCAGCAGGCTGCGGAGAAACTTGCTGAGGCAGAGGCGGCAATACGCAATGAAGATAGGAAATGCAAGGCTGAGCTTGTTCATTGTGTCTGACTTAAGCTTGCACACATTCTCCTAACTTTCTTCACAGCGAACGCTTGTCGAACAGAAGGAGGCCATGGAGAAGATGATGAAGCGATTGACGAGCTTGCAGCTTCAGATCAGTTTGCAGATCACATTATCTCTTGACTTGCTAGTGATTGTGTCTCAGAATGCGAGCAGAAATGGCTTCAGCAGCTTCGTATACAGCCTCCTGTCAACAAGCAATGAGCACAGTTAAAGACTGAGCTCATATTTTTAGCCAGACAGCGTGCGAGTATCATGAAGGACTATGTGGTATGGTTGACTCTTGTGTTCTCTGATCTACTAATTTGACAACTCGATGAAGAAACTGGTCAAAGCTGCAATTAGAGAGCAACAGGAGGTGATGAACCTTGGCTTGCAGCAAGCTTAACTTACCGCAGACAAGCAATCCCTCAAAGACCTCTATAAGGAGAAGGAGGAAGAGCAACAAAGAGCCCTCACCGAGTATCAAGAGGGTGTGCATCCTTTTAACTTGTTCGCAATGAGACTGAATAGGTTTCAAACAGTGAACAAATCATATGCAGAAGCCAAACAAGAATGCCAGGCCAAGCTGGTCATCAGTAAGCAGAAGCTTGATACCGTCGACAATGAGCTTCGCGAATGATTGGAGGAGATGGAGATAAAAGAGGTTCATGTGCCTGAATTTACCGTGCTCCATCCTCACCATCGACTCATTACAGAGTGGAAAGGCCAGAGAGAAAAAGTCAGAGCGAGTGTTAGCGGATTTAGAGAAGAAGCGGGCACAGCTTGACATGAACCTGCAAACGAATGCAGGGGTCATCGAGCAGTACCGTGGGTGTCAAGCTGAGGTATGTCCTCATGTTCTTGGTGTAATGTTCGACTGAAATAATGATGAACTCCTCAGATCGCGAACCTAGCCAAGACGATCAAGGAATGAGAGAGCAAAGCCGGGGGGATCAAGCAAGCTATCAAAACAGCTAGGGTGCATCTCCGAATGATGCTCTATGTTTTTCAGACTCCACTGAATTCCTCTTAGGATCAGTGGCAATCTGCTCTCGAGGAGCTCATTTTCAGCATTGGAAGGAAATTCTCAGCAGCATTCAACCGTGAGTATGTGCGATGCATTGATATCAGTGGGCACTGATGGGTGCTTGTAGGCCTCGGGTGTGCTGGTGAGGTCAGAATCAGCGCGCACGAAGACTATGATCAGTGGGCGATAGACATCTTTGTCAAGTTCCACAATGAGGAGAAGCTGCAGCTTCTGACAAGGGAGCATCAATCAGGAGGCGTACATTCCATATCTCCCAGTTCAGTTTCCTATTGCAATCAGCTGATTGCACTTACTGCAGGAACGCTCACTCATGACGATCTTGTACTTGATGAGCTTGATAGAGGAGGCTCGTGCACCGTTCTCTCTCGTCGACAAAATTAATCAGGTGCATTGCTTCATCGGTGGATGCTAAGAGACAATAGATTCATATAAAATGGTGCTACAGGTATGGATCAACACGCCGAGTGTGCAATTCATAACTCCCTGGTTGAATTAACCTGCAAGGCCGATAGTGGGCAATACTTCATCATCACACCCAAGCTGCTGCCTGATTTTGACTACGCAGAGTGTATGAAGGTACTATGCATGAATAATGGTGAGTGGCTGCCAGATGAGATGTGGGGCGACAACATGATGAACATGATCGAGGCGTACGTGAAGCACAACCACTCCAAGGGGTTCATGTAGATTCTTGTGTAGAATTATCGAATATTTGTGGCACAAGCATCTTTCAGTGTCAACTGTAGCCTGACTGTCCAAGTGACCATCTGTCACTTCGGGTGTGAGTGCTTACCGCATCAACTGCTCTTCACCACGTTTCGGGTCCTTACTCGCGTTCAGTCTGCATCATTGTCACACGTGTGTTTGCACTTGTACCAACTATCGGAAATGTTGGCTTTGCTTATTGAGATCACATTAATTTGAATGGCAATGGCCGATGTGACGACGTCCTCTCAGGCTGCTTCAAAGGCAGAACAAGATGTCCTCTGCACGTCCACCATTCCAGAGGCTTAACTCTAAGGTTTTTAAGTGCTTTCTGGCAGAAAAGGTCCGACCTGATGGACGTGAACTTGATAGGTGGCGAGATGTCTCGTTGAAAGTAGGCTCTCATGTGGATGAACCCTTGACTACCTCTCGCAGGCTCAATTTCCACTGCAGATGGTTTTGTCCTTGTTCGCGTGGGCAATACAGCCATTGTTTGTGGAGTGAAGCTTGAGATTGCAGAGCAATAGTCCCGAAGATGGTTTTCTTGATGAGCGTAGTCGGTTATTCTTGAGGCCTATTGATAGAGCTCCTGCAATCCTAGTACCTAATTTGGATCTTCTGGCTATATGTTCTGCCAAAATTCAAGCATGGACCTCCTACGAGGAAGTGCAGTCTCCAACAGGCTGAATGATATTTTGGTCATGTATGTCCCATTCCGTTCCCCAAGGTCGTTGCTTTTTACTCATCTACAGCAGCTCGGCAGTCATTTCAGCTGAATCGCTTTGCACTGAGCCTGAAAAAGCGGTATTGGTATTATATGTCGATGCAACTTGCATCAATCATGACAGAAGTGCCTTCGATGTGACCCCGTTTGCCATGATGAAGCCTACTATCTCGAGAGTACGCTAATCGCACGAGAAGGCTTCCAGTCATTTGGTGGTCGAATTTGGTTCACAGGTTACCCACCCATATGCCAAAACACTCCATCCATACAGCTTGAGGTGGGGCTGGGGCTACTACAAAGTACGATTATGAAGCCAAGTCCGTACTTAGATCTCTAGTATCCGATCAAATTGAAAACGCGATCACATCAGATATGCACATGTAGGTAGGTGCCCGGCTAGTGTCGCCATACTCAAGTGCCATACTCAAGCGACGCACCCTCCACCATGCTATAGCTGGTACATCGTAGCTAGCAACTCGCCTGCACAGCTGAAGTGAAAGACTTTCAGTCTTCAATGATTGGCAGGCGCAGTGAACGGTTTATGTTTCTGACAGTTCCGTTGACATCGAGTGCTCTTCCTGGCTTTCTTGATTTATTACCTGCCCCACGACCCACACCTTCTGCCATCCTTTCTGGAAGAGATGAACATTCCAGTCACACTGTCACCTTGTCCCAGTTTCTATTCACACCGTGTTCGAATTAGCATCAATGCTTTCGTTCAGCTTCAAAGGTCAGTCGACTCTCTTCCGCCCTTGGTACACTACTCGAGTTTTCATTCCTTCACTCTCATCCACCACTGCGTGTGTGGTGCTTTCTGACTTCAGGATCTCGAGCCTGCTTGCCTGCCTGCGCTCGCTATGTCCCTCGCTGACCTTCGCCGTTTTCTCTCTATTGATCAGGCCTACCTCCCGGTAGCATCCTCCTCTACAACTGTGCATATGTCGACCTTCATTCAGTCTGTGGGCAGCCATCTGCACAGCTTACCCAGCATTGGAAGCAGCCAATCTTCCTCTGCACGTGACTCACCGTATACCAGGCATAGTCGACCGTTGTTGTTGGCTTCGAGATGTGAGTGCAGCATATCGCTGTTCTCTTCTTTCGATGTGCCTGCAGCCCATATGTCAGGTCGTGGGATATGAAGCCAGTTTTATACATTCCGTGGTCGTCTGAGTTTATCTGTTCTTGCTTCTCACCACTATCCATCTTACTTTGCCGTTATCACGACCTGTAGATCATATCGTCATGCGCTCAACTGACACATTTCTCCTCACAGTTTCTGCTCTCTGCTGATCTAGATCAATGGAATGCCCACATCTCACAGGACGTTCACAAGATGGATGACATTTTGCATTAACTGGATCCCTCAGACAAGCCAAGCTACATTGAACACCACAGTGTGATCCTCTCATGGATGTCAGCTCACTCATTGTCCTGGTGGCTGCACTTTTGACATTGTTGTGAGTGTCACCAACTTTGTGCTGCATGTTGCTTGCTGTGTGGGGAGTGTGGTCGAGGTTGAGTGGCTAGAAGTACTACTTGCACGCACTGTAGCCACACTTAGGTTCATATGACATCATGGGGAGAGTGTCCTCAATCACCCTGATAATGCATTGTCACTGCTCCCCTATGCACGGTGATTCAGTCACCATGTGGCCACGTTGTACATCTGTCATGCACGTCCTGCTCTCATTGAAGAGTGCATACTGGAGTGATGCATGAGCTTGTTGAAAGACATCACCAGATATCACTATACTCTCATTATCTGTAACACTTTGATGTGATGGGACTCCCCCCCTATGTGACCTTCAAAGAGCACAGGTCCCTCGTCTGTGCCACCGACGATCCCAAACAAGAGCTCGCTGTCGAAAAGTACAAAGCACGTGGCTGAAAAATGCTCCACAAGCTCTCCAGGAAAGAGCGGTGTCAGACTAACTGCTCTTTCAGAGGTGGCTCATGGTGGAACGCTGATCGACAGCTGGGTCATCGATCTCGACTTGGCCATGATCGATCTCCCTCCTGTGCTGTCACCTGCCTCACCGTCGCTCACGTGTGACCCTGTGGCGGCTGCAAACTAGCTATTGCAGTTAGAGTATGAGCCGCATGGCATGTGGTTCATCACCATTGGTGCCAACGAGCTGTACTACGGGTACGTCATGGAACAGACTTCAGAATTATATTTCGCTGCAAAACAATACGTGCATCGCAAATCCACCGCAATCAAATAGTACGTCCGTATCTACCTAGCAGTGTTCTCAGTGCTCATATCGACTTATCCAGTTATGATGAGGCATTCACGACATGTGGCCTCATCATTCTGAAGCAAGAGCAAAAGTCTGGCTTCATACCATGAACAGCCATCTTCGATCATGCACGCATATTAGTGGAATTCTCTGTGGCTATTCCCTTTCATTTGCTCATGTTCTTCTGTACTATCAGCTGTGCCAGTTGACACTTTATACTACCAAATGTCTCACTATGATGACTGTGCTGTATAGATCCCTATTGACATGTTCAAACTCTCTAGTTCGTCATTCCCCTTCCTCCAGCGCACATGATGGCCTTTGCGTCTGCAGAGATACAGGAAGCCATCTTCTGGCCTATCAGTGTGAGTCGATACAGAAGGCATGCAGCTCGTTGTGCAGGGCATTTTATATGTGTGAGAGATTATCAGCCACCGTTGATCCATCATTGATCAGATGTCGAGGGCACTCATAACGGGATCTAAACACAGCGGATTAATCAACACACCTATTTTCAAACCATGTAAGGACAGACGAGGTGTTGGTATGACTTTTCTGTGGTATCGGAAGTACGGTACAGATGTATCCAGGATAGAATTGTGTAGCATAGTGTGGGCTAGAATGCATAATGGTGGATGGATGATGATGAGATATGTGCATATATGGAGGGAGTAACGGGAGTGTTGGTGGTGATAGTGAACAAACAGACAACATGGAGGAGAGAACAGTGGACACTGAACAGAAAGACAAAAGCAACAGCAGGTCCGGTGTGATGTGAACAAACACACAATAGACAATGCAAGACAGCAATGACAAACATGCAAGATTCAAGGGACGACCAGACAGTCTAATGCTGATTGAGTTGTCCCCTACTCACCTATGAACCCTTGAAGAACCATGGCAGCGCCTCCCTCACCTGATCCACATGGCTCAACAACACACCATGTGGTGCATCCTTGATCATAATAAGCTCTGCCTGCAGCACGAGTGCATGCACATGCACCACCGTCGCATACGGCACCACACACTTCTTCATGCCCTGCACCACACTATCACCCACAGTACAGACACAGACCAACGACACAGCACACACACCCAGACGAGCAGCACATGCATTCTGTCCTCAGCCCTCTGTCCGATTGCTTCATATGTGCTGGCAAGCCTGCGCACAGATCCATCTTGCAGAGAAAACGTGATGGCCAGGTTGAACCCTGGTAGGTACGCTGACTGGATGCGCATGAGCTGCGGTGGAGGTGAGTTCAGTGGCTCGTCAGCACGGCAGATGTTGCACACCTCAGCAAACGGATCAAGATTGCCTCTGTTGACTCTGAAAGCAACTGCATATTTGCCTCGCCGATTCCGTACACTTGCCGTGATATTTATATAAATATAGCAGGATTTCTTGGTTATCCGTCTTGGTCACTTTCTTGAATCAGCCATGCTAAATCTCCTTCATCGGAATGGCACCAATTCACGCCATCTCCCATGCACACGCAGCTCACCGCAGTGGCCACTGCCTCAACGCGGGAAGCATCTGCTGCCACACTCTGAGGTGGATGCACGAGCAGGTGGTTTTCAACAACAGTGGCCAGTGAACTCAGTGATCTTACTCAGGTAAGTGAGAACTCACCATGGCTTTCTCGATACGACAGGAAGTGCAGCTACAAAAGCTATAGGGAACAACACCAGCAATACCATGATGGATGTTAATGACTCAGAACAAATGGCATGCACTGATCTCCAGGCGTACCCATGGACGGCAGATGAGATGACACTCCTGATACAGAGACTGGCCTTTGGTTGGCATGGACACCTGCAATCGAGATACCAGACAAGCCTGGCAAGCCGCCAGTTTGAGCTGGGGGTAAAATGCATTGAAGCTGGAATCTGTGTTGCTGAGAGGGCTTCTGTGGTAATGCTCAGCTGGATGTAGATCCAGTACAGGCAGGGGTAGGGGGCACAGAGCGGTGGAAGGAGCCGGGTTGTTGCAGCCCATTCTTCTGTGATTGAGGCACCAGTGGTGGGGGCATCTGCTGTAAAGTTCAGCTGGACGTACAGGTAACTCCAGTCCAGGCAGGGCTGGGGGGGACAGAGTGGTGGAAGGAGCCAGACTGTTGCAGGTGTGAGTGAGGCACCGGTGGTGGGGGTATCTGTTGTCGTTGATGGTCCCGGTGAGCAGTTCCCTTCAGCATGCCGAAGTCTTGGTTCGTCATCTGAACTGGTACTTTGTGATGGGTGGCAAGACGTGGCACCATGGATGCATGCAGTTGATCGGAGATGTTTGTATCACTTTGTACCTGGCGTGCCTGCACTTGCCATGTGGGAGCTGTCTGTGCATGTGAGAATGTTGCGATAGGGCCTTCTCAAGTTTGGGAAGTTTGCACAGGCATATATGCATATTGTCTAATTGAATAGATGAGTCAAAACGGACAACGGTGCTGAATTGCGAGTCATTAAGCATCAACAAGAAAGCGTACTGGGAAAAATGCATAGGTCCTGGTCAGTCTCCTTGCTGCCTGCCACTCTGATTCTGGAATGCTTGAGATGGATCACCACTATGGGATGCACGACGTGATCCAAAGATAGTGTCACGGCATGCCGATGACAAAGATAGACAACCAAATATAGAATCCCCTTGAGGGCCTCCTGGCTAAGAGCCAACAGCGACGAGCTGTGGTGATACGACGTGCCCACTGACGAGGCCTGATAGCTGGTCGCAGAGCAAGACTTACTGGCAAGGCTAGAGGTGCTATCACACAAGTGAGAATGCAATAGGATGTATAGCACACTGAGAGTGTCTGGTAAGACCCCTCTGTGATGGTAGTGGTGGACGAAGGAGAATAAGACTGAGGTCTCCTCCTTGTCTCGCTGGTCCTTGTATACATGATTGCTATGCTACTGTACAGTACTACCTAAGCGAGTCACACGCTATCCTACTGGTCAGTGCTACAATCATACGAAATGTCCCAATTATCCTAATTGGCTGCCTAATAATAACCACGGAGACGGAGCTCCTCCTGAGCATGCAATATGATGTCATGGTGATTGCGATATATGACGCCATGCCGAGGAGTTTGGTGTCACGTGATAATGCCGAGAGAGATCTGAGGTCATGTGACTGGATGCCTCGTTATCTTATCTCATTAGGTCACGTGACTTCTTGTGCGACGAGAAATGATAAAAAATGATATGCTCCTTAATAGCATTTGTTCCTATAATGACTTTGTCAGGTAAAACCGTGACATTATCCCCTTCTCAAGGTTCATCGTCCCGATAAGCCAAAGCCTTTGGCGCCTCATATGGTTCGCTTTGCAAGTGAACTATCTGCTTCAGAAATGATTCCTGGAGCATAACATTTGCATATGAGTTGTGCGACACGATCGCCTGTTCTGACCTCAAATGGTTTTCTGGTCGTATTAACGAGAAGCACCTTGATTTCCCCTGTGTAATCTGGATCAATTACCCCTGCTGCGACATCGATTCCTTTGAGGGCTAGCCCACTTCGGGGGGCCACTCGAATGTACGTCCATTTTGGGGGATCAACCGCAAGTCCAGTGTCAATGAGCATTCTGGGGTGTGGGGGAATATCTATGTCCTGTATGGACTTGAAATCCCAGCCAACAGCTTCTGCAGAACCCTTGTAGGGTGCTCTGGCATTCGGATGAGTGCAGAAGAAAAACATGAATTCATCAGGGTGATCAGACAGAGCGATTTTGTGCACTTTGCGTGTTCACAGCTTTGCTCTTGGAGCGTCTGGGTGTGTCTTGTGGAATTCCTCTACTTTGTCTTTGACGTTTGTGAGGTTTTCCAATGGTTCCCAAGTATTATCGCTGTGGTCGTAGTCCAACCATTTCACGAGATACTGGGTTTTGTTATACCTGACTCTCGAATCCAGGATGTCTTCTACGTCCCACTCTTCCTCTCCATCAATGATGACTGGGGGGTTAGGGGGAGGTACGCGTCCCGGGATAGAGTCTTGATGAAACATTATAAGCTTAGAAGCGTGAAACACGGGATGTATCTTCATGTCCGCTGGTAGTTGCAGTTTGAATGATACGACTCCGATCTTTTCAAGGATCTTGAATGGTCCATAGTTTTGAGTCGCTAGCTTTTGGCTTTTGACTTTGACGTGAAGATCTTTTCCTCAAATAAGCACTTCATCTCCTACTTTGAAAGGGATGTCCTGCTTTTTAAGGTCGAAATACCATTTCATTTTTTCTGCTGCTAACGATAAAGCAGCCCGAGCTTGTTCCTGTGCTTGATCGCGATCGTGGAATAGGTGTTCCAGGGATGGATGTTGTATTCCTTCCAGCACGTCTGGTGCCATTCGGGGGTGTCGACCATGCTCAATGAAAAATGGGGACAGGCCTGTCGATTCTGATGCTTGGTTGTTGTATGCGAATTCTGCTGTGGGCAATAGTGTGGCCCAATCAGTTTGTCGGTAATTGCAATACATGCGCAAATACTGCTCCAGAATCCGATTGACTCGTTCGGTCTGTCCATCCATTTCAGGGTGATAAGCTGTAGACATCGTGGATTTAATGTGAAGTTTCTGGCAGAACTCCTGGAATAGTTTGGCTGAGAACTGTGTGCCTCTATCGGATATGATCTGCCGGGGAATTCCGTGGAGTTTGAATACTTCAGTATAGAAAATTGATGCTACTTGAGATGCTGTCACCATGTCATCTACTGGGTAGAAGTGTGCATGTTTGGTGAACCTGTCAACGACTACCAAAATGACAGTCTTCTTTTTCTCCCCTGTGGTCTGGGCTTGGCGGTAGCTGTGTAATCAGGTCACAGGTAACCATTTCCCAAGGCCCTTCTGGTACTGGGTTAGGTTGAAGTAGTCTGTAAGGCTTCTGCTTGCTCATCTTGTTTCTTTGGCAGGTTACGCAGCCTTGGATGTACTTCTTAACATCAATGGTAAGCCCTGGCCACCAGTAATTCCTGCTAATCAATTCTTGCATCTTCCATCATCCGGGGTGTCCGACCGTGGAGATGTCATGGTGTAGCTTGATCAGCTCATTCCACAGCTTAGTGTCCTTTGGAACGTAGACCTTTCCTCTTCTGAGCAGCAATCCATGCTCGAAGTTCCACTCTTGGAGATCTTTTCGAACTCTCGCTTGCCAGTTTTTAATAGGTGCTGGTAACCTTTGGTCATTTCGTCGTCTTGTAGTGCCGATTTCACTCTTTCTAGAAGTTTTACATCATCAACTTCGGAGGAATGAGTGGCTGAGATCGCGTGGATGGCAAAATATTCGGGTCGAAGCAAAGTTTGCCCTGAATTGTCATTGCTCACCCCCTTCTCATGATCTGGCCTCCTGGACAGAGGATCGACATGCATCATCGTCTTTCTGGGGTGGTGATGGAGTATGAAATTGAAACGTGTAAGGTAAAGTGACCATCGAGCTTGTCGCCTAGTCAATGTCTGAGCTTGTCGGAAATAGGTAAGATTTAGGTGATCCGACCATATCTTAACTGGGTGAGGGTGTCCTTCGAAGTACTGCTGATATTCTTCTAAAGCCCGAATGATGGCTAGCATCTCTTTGTCGTAGATCTCATAATTTCGCTCATGTTCATTAAGTGATTTTGAGTAATATGCGACTGGATGCCAGAGCTCATCTTCTCTCAACTGTTCAAGGACCGTGCCTGTGGCAAAGTCCGAGGCATCCGTTTCTAATCTAAAGGGACGGACTGCGTTGGGGAGCGCTAAAATCAGGGCAGAAGTGAAGGCAGTCTTGAGGGCCTCAAATGCCTTTTGTTGAGGTTCTTCCCATTTCCATGGTGCGTCCTTATGTGTTAATAGAGTCAAGGGTCGGGTCATCGATCTGAAATCCTTGATGAATCGTCGATAGAAATTTGCCAGATCAAGGAATGCTTGTACTTGCTTTACCTTGGTGGGCACCAGCCATTTGAGCATGCCGTCGACCTTCTCTGAGTCCATCTGTATCGACCCTTTTGAGATTATGAGTCCGAGAAATTTGATGAAAGTGGTCACAAAGTGACACTTTTCTGGTTTCACGAACAGGTCATTGTCTCGGAGTCATTGTAGAACCTCTTTGGTCAGATGGTCATGTTCCTCCTGGTTATCTGTAAAGATGATAATGTCATCTATATAGACTGCCACCTTTCCAGTGCGAATGAGATTGCCTAGAATGTCGTTCATCATGGCCTGGAAAGTGCTAGGAGCATTACAGAATCTGAAGTACATTACAGTGGGTTCAAATAACCCTCTATGGGTAATGAACGCTGCTTTTTCCTCATCTCTCTTGTGAAGGCGTACATTGTTGTACCCCCATCTCAGGTCTAGTGTAGTAAATATACTAGCCCTTGAGAGTCCATCAATGAGATCGTTGATTCAGGGGAGTGAGAATTTGTTCTTCTTGGTGACACTGTTTAACGCCCTGTAGTCTTGGACTAGTCTAAGAGAGCCATCCTTCTTTTTGACGAAAAATACCGGAGCAGCATAAGGGGATTTAGACGGTTCAATGTAACCTTTGGCTTGTTCACCGTCAATCCATTCGTTGAGCGAGTTCTTCTCTCGTAAAGACATAGAGTATACTTTTGCCGGTCTCGGGGTTGCCGCGTCTGGGACAAGATCAATTGCGTGGTCATAGGGCTTATGCATCGGCATTCTTTCCGAGCTCTTCTTTGAGAACACATCTCTAAATTGACGAAATTCTGGAGGGACGAACTTGGACCAATATTCTTTGTCCTGTGTCTCTTCTGCCGGCTGTTCTACCAAATGCTCCTTTACCTTCTTGCTTATGTCTAGGATGTCGTGCACCATGTTATGAATATCCTGGTCTTGCAAGTCTATCCAATTGATGAAGTTATCTTCCTGATCCCACCCGTCATCCATGTGTACGTCGGGGAGAATTGCTTCATCTTCGAGTCGAGGTTGCGATAGAAGGTTGACTTCTTCTTCACATACTTTGACTCGTTGCTTCCTCATGTGTCTGCATCTTGAGAAGGTGACCTCTCTATGTTTCCAGTCAACTCGGGGGTTATGTTCTTGTAAGAACTTCATGCTGAGGATCATCGACATGTGTCCAAGGTTTGTGACGAGCAAACTCTCAGTTGATCGGCGCCCCCCGATTAAGATGCTTGTGACTACACGATGAGTAATTGCACCACCCTTGTTGAGGCTGGCATCTGCATTGAGGATTCGGATTTCATGGTTTAAAGGTATCATCTTAAACCCGTGCTTCTCAGGGAATCTTTGGTCGATGTAGCAAGAGAATGCTCCAGAATCCAATAGTGCCGTCGTCTGGATTTCCCGTGATACGAATCTTATTGGCAATTCGATCGAATGTTTAGAAAAACCCGCGGATGCAATATATATATGATCGCTAGGTACATTCGTTCTCACGGTACTAATACAATTGTCCTGAAGTGTGACACCAGACTCGTCTACACTTCGTACTGAAAATTCTCTGAGAAATCGTCTATCTCGACGATTCTCGCATTGATGTCCTTGATCGTTGATGCTGATGCCATTGATGCTGCATCTGAGCTTTTCGCCTTGCCTTTGCCCTTGCTTGACGGTGGTGTAGTCGACGCTGTGCTCATACCGCGAAGTGCAGCAATTGCTTGTTACAGTGCCGCAATTTGAGCTGATGAGCCCGCGCTACTTTCTTCTTCCACCTGTTGCACGTTCGATGTTTTGCCCTTCCCTTTTCCTTGCCCTTGCTTCGGAGCGGATCGTGTCTGAAACCGCTTGCCCTTGTATTCTGGCTTGGGCGAGGGGCACCGTTTTCCTCGTTCATAGGCGTGCTTTTCGCAGAACAAACATAGTTTGTTTGCCAGCCACCTATCCTGTTCCGGGGATAATTCATGTGCGATTCGTGCGCTAGTGTCCATTGCATTAGGTCCTTGGGAACGGTCACCTTGGTCATCGCAGTCTGTCCAGTAGACTTGTTGCCTGAAGTTTGTTAGAGATGTTTGATTTCAATCTCCAAGCAGAACTCGAGATAGTCCATCCAGGTGGTTGGAATATTCGAGGGGTCCAAAGTCTCTGTTACTGACATGACCGTCTGAATGTGGCTTGACCGTTGTTCCCTGATTTTGACGATTAGAATTTCGTCAGAGTATCCTGATTCGGGGGCGTAGGCCCTGAAATTTTCTGCGAAGGCGATCATCGTCTTGTGGCGAATTGCACAGTGTGCATCTAGCAGGGATTGTGCCGTGTACTTGGGGTCAAGCATCTTGTATGCCATTTCTAGTTTTCGAGTATATTCTGCCCATGTGCCAACGTCTTATCCAGAGGCGAGCTTGATTGCGTACTCCTTCACGTATAGAGCTGCTCCACCTTCCAGATGTGCATTGGCTTGCCAAATTTTGTCCTTGTCGTCCGTGAAATGGTTATAGTTGAGCCAAATGAGCAGGTTCGTGAACCAGGTTTCAAAATTTTCTGACGACTTCCTTCCCGAATACTTGGGAGGATCGGGGAGCTTAATTCAGCGAGGTAATTGACTAGATTGACCGGCCGGTGGTTGGATACCTGTGGAGGGTGCATTGATAATGGCATTATTGAGTCGAGACTCTAAGCCAACAATATAGGTAGTGGTCTTTTCCTGAGCCTCCTTCAGGGTGACCATGTTGCCGTAAAGGGCGTCCATCTGGCCCTTTACTTCATCTTTGTAATCCTCAAAGTCCTTGCGGATTGCTTGGGCTTCGGCTGTCAGACTGGTATTCAACTTGATGAGCCGTTCGTTGTCGGCGGAGAGGGTGCCGATCTGGGCTCTTGCAGTCCTTAGCTGATCTCGCGTTTCTACTGCCATTATTTCGACGTGGATGCGAGCCAGTACTTCATCTTCCAACGAGGCTACCGTGCGCTCATGTCGCTCATCCATCTTTTGACGTAAGGCTTCATATGAGCTTACACCGTCTCTCATGACGAATGATCGCACAATGTTCATTACCCATTCCTTAACGTCGTTTGAGATGGTGTTTGGTGCAGCGGCATTGGCGGCTTCCTCGATGGTTGTGTAAGGGATTCCCTGCCATTCCCAAGTCTGAGGTGTGGAGAATGCTGGCAGGGTGGTGGGTGACAGGTTTCTGACTACTCCCGATGCCTTGGGTGTGCTGCTAGTATGGGGTTCATTCACAGGGGCAGCTGGTCCTGCTTCCGATGGCATAGAAGGGGCGTTACTCCTCCAGGGGTCCATAGGTTCACTTGTGGTGTGTCCTCCGGGGAACGCCATGCCTCCAAGGTTATATTGAGACATGAAAATTGATGTTGAAGATAATGGAAAAGAGGCGGCGGAGAGTGTGTTCGAAATGATGAGCTTTTACTGGGGCTGATTATTGGCTCCCAGTAAGCATGCTAGTTCGATGATACGGTTTCTCCGTGCCGCGGCTTCTGCGAGCCTTGTTGGGCGAGGGTGTCTTTGTTCTGGAAAGTCTCTGTACCAGTTTGTCCAGAAGAGTTCTTCGTCTTCTTGATATAACTGAGCAAGACGTTCCTAGTAAGCGTTTTCTATCCACTCGTGAACTGGATCAATTATTTCGATGTCTGTTTCAATGAGTCGAAAAGGTGTGTGCAGGGTAACTCGATGTTCGATGTCAACCGGATAATGATAAAGCGGGATGGATCGCTCTGATAGTAGGGGTTGATAGATGAAGTACCCCATGCACACTAGATGATGATAAAGGTCAGTGATGTAGTGTTCGGCCACGTAGTTTCTGAATACAAAACTGACTTGATACCGGGGCATGAAACGGCTGATACGGTAGTACAAAAATATTACTGGTCCTAGTATGGCCAGTAGCACGACTCCTTCTCGAACCTCACAATGTCTCGTCCTACGTGCTCCTGCTCCTTGTTGATTCCTCTAAACGAAATCTTTCCTAATCCCATGCAAAGCTTGATAGTGATGCGCCTGTCGACGAATGTAAAGTTGTCACCTCGTCCAATCCTCTCGTTTAGTGCTCCTAGATGTTGTAGAATGCGATCGCGACACTGGATCTGTTCCTCTGTGAACTTGGCAGCGATATGGGGCTGCTGCAAGACCTTGTAATGCTGAATAGTAGCATGTACAGTCAGTGCGATGTTTTCGGGGAGCGTGCCTTTGGGATTTTCGTGGATCCCACGCAGATGATAGTCCTGAGAGAGTGCGAAGGTGAGGACGGCAGTGGCGTCAGCGTTAGACCACCAAAAAGGTTTGTAAATGGGGACGGATGGGTCAGATGCGTCTTTGGGAATTGCTTCAGCCCACGAGCTGACCTTAGAGCAAAGCTTCTGTAGGTCTGAGCGAGGGTCATTGGGCTTTGCTCAGAGTAGGTTGCTTGCCGTTAGGCGAGTAGTGCGACGGGGATCGCGTTGGTAAGGGTGGTAGTGTCCGTTGGGCGGTACGATACCGTTATGCACTTGAGGCGCTTTACCGGTCGATGCAGCGCTGTTCCTTTTGAAGGAAGAGAGCAGCTTAGGTGGTAGAGGTGAAGTGGAATGGTATGAAGGAAGTGGTGTGGAAAAAGTAGCCCTGTCCTGGGCGGATGTATCTTTGAGCAAAAATGTGCAGCTACCAGTGTTAGACACTTGGTAGGGGCGTAAAAGGTCAGTCTTATTCTAATATCACGGCACGCCGATGACAAAGATAGACAACCAAATATAGAGTCCCCTTGAGGACATCCTGGCTAAGAGCCAACAGCGACGAGCTGTGGCGATACGACATGCCCACTGATGAGGCCTGATAGCTGGTCACAGAGCAAGACTTACTGGTGAGGCTAGAGGTGCTATCACACAAGTGAGAATGCAATAGGATGTATAGCACACTGAGAGTGTCTGGTAAGACCCCTCTGTGATGGTAGTGGTGGATGAAGGAGAATAAGACTGAGGTCTCCTCCTTGTCTCGCTGGTCCTTATATACATGATTGCTATGCTACTGTACAGTACTACCTAAGCGAGTCACACGCTATCCTACTGGTCAGTGCTACAATCATACGAAATGTCCCAATTATCCTAATTGGCTGCCTTATAATAACCCACGGAGACGGAGCTCCTCCTGAGCACGCAATATGGTGTCATGGTGATTGCGACATATGACGCCATGCCGAGGAGTTCGGTGTCACGTGATAATGCTGAGAGAGATCCAAGGTCACGTGACTTCTTGTGCGACGAGAAATGATAAAAAATGATATGCTCCTTAATAGCATTTGTTCCTATAATGACTTTGTCAGGTAAAACTGTGACAGGTAGGCTGCTGGTGGTCCGGTGGAAGAGTGAGTCGGTAACGACCAATGATGGACAATGGACTCGAGCGAGTTTCAGCTCCATTTGGATGGCTGCTGCGATAAGTGACCCAAAGGCTGTATTAGATGCGATAGAGCTCACTGGTGGCTGTCGAGCATCTGCCGCTTTCCGTTGTCATTTCTGATATCTGAAGATGTCCCATGCTCATATTGAGCAGAATGTCGTAACTGCTCATTCTCTGTCTGTAGGTCCTCAACCGTCCTAAATGTGCACGCTAAAATAAGAACAACAGTAAACATGCATGAGTGGTACCTTCTCAGATTGTTGTGTTCTTTCATGAGCTGTGTCAAAAGTGATTTTTGATGGCTAGACTTCTCCTTATAATGTTGGACAAGCGAAGCGAGCGTATCCATCTGGAACTATCGAAATATCATTGATTATGGGCATCTGATGTGTTCTATAGTAAACAAGCTCACTCTGGTGGCAAAGGTGATGCTATCCAGTGCTGAAGGTGCTGATCTGAACCAGTCCAACATGGGCAGCTCCATCTGGTCAAAATGAACAGAGTTTAGGATAACATTTCATAATCTGTGGTAACATACATCCCGTTGCAAAGGCATCAACTGAATGCCCTGCTCCGCACATTGAGCACAGCTCTGGTCAGCATCTATGAGAAACAAGTCGATCAATCAACAGCACGAGGTTGATACATTCAATCAAAACCACTTACTGAGATGGTTATTGCATATTACATATCCACATTCTGCAAGCCAAAATGGGACAGAAGGGGCCCCAGCCTTTGCAGGAAATGGCAAATGGCATTGAGAGCAACTGACAAATTTCCAGAAGTCGATTTCGTAGGTCGACACTGATGTATGGGACATTGTTATGGACTGTTGAGTTTGCCAGTATCCGGGGAGCGATGATGATGGAGCGGCAAGAAGAGCTCAGCCTAGGTATGCCGAGCTCCCTAATTAGCATTAATATATATATATAAATACAATTTTGTAATATTATGTAATGTTGCTGGTGGCACAGCGTGCGAATGTCAGCTGATGTCTTACATTTTTGGCAAAGGTTTGCCAATGTAGTATTTAAATGGCAAATTGTGCACATTCGCAGCCAAAGTCGTTTGGAAAATACCTTTGTTATTTGGAATTTGTCACTTGGGTGGGGTGCCAAGTTGGCACGGTCAGCGCCAGGTCCTCCAGATATGTTGACGTCACATGCTCGACGTGTCATGATCAGTGCAGACGATGCGCCATAATCCATTCCTGATCATTCTTCCTTGTTTCTCCCCCACTTTTCTACTCAATGAATCGAGAGAACTTTGCAAGTGTCACAGATGCCTACGGTCTAGACGAGCTCGACTACAATGAATATCTGGACAATCCTGACGTTGGGCTTTCTTATTCAGCGAGTGCCGGTGCAGGTCTCGAGGACATAGACATTCTCATGGAAGAAATCGGTGACTATATGCACCCCACATCTCATTCAGCACATGCATGATTTCTCACCTCTCTCCAGAAGAGGCTTTGTCTTCCCCATTCTCTCCAGAGGGTGTTCGATCCCGGAATGCTCAGTACACCATTCCGAGATTTACACGCAACCCTGGTCCCCAGACTCTATTAGACTATGATGACATCTCTGAATACGATGATGTGGAGCTGTATCAAGCATTCGAACCTCAGTTCCAGCCAGATGTGCATTTCACTGGCTCGTCGAGCTACGGACCTCCGACGCTTAGCCAGTGCCCATTTGCAACACACTCAGATAAGAGTGTTCCAGCATAGATGTTGGCATACTTTGTTCACATCAGGGTTCAGTACCTAGATTTTCATTTCACCAAATGGTCCCCCCTGGCGTTTTATCTGCACATAATACCCATCCTCCCATGATCCCCGGTTTGTTGTCTACAAGTGATCGATTGGCCCCTCATGCAAATGAGGTTCCTCATGACAACCATTGTGACCCAGCCAGAGGGTCAAATCTGTGAGATGCACACAGCATTCCACTGTGTCCTGTGTCAAAATTGCATGAGTGTGCCAGTTATCGGTCTCCTGTCCCCGAGGGTCTGATGCATATACATGCCTTCCTTGCCGAACTCCGCTGCAGCTGACATGTATCGGTCATTGTTCAAGTTCGGCATCTTCAACGCAGTCCAGTCGAGCTGTTTCCACAAAGTGAGTTCTCCTTTGTGGGTACAAATGTACTCCACCAATCACAGACCTGCTATTAGGTCATAGATACAGACGAAAATATGGTGCGTGGTTTTTTTTGGATTGATCCGTGTTGCTTATTACATTTTGCGCTTTCACAGGTCATTAGCGGTGAGCGCGTTTGAATTTGCTCCAATCTTATGGTCTCACATCGGGGCCATCCACAGCACCTACGGGGAGTGGGAAAACAGTGCTCTTCGAGCTCGCGATCATCCGCATGCTTACGCAGGTGGGTGGGAATACAAAGACGTCTAAGTGCATCTACGTAGCTCCCACAAAGGTAAGCGAAGACACGAATGCATGATGAGGGTCGCGCCTGTGAGCTTGTATTCACAATATCAGTTTTCAGACACAGGTGCTTTGCTCTGAGAAGTGCAGAGATTGGACCACGAAATTCCAGCCATTGGGTGTGGATTGTGAGTGCACTCTCACTGTAATATGGTGCCCTCACGTGCTCTGCTGACCAGCTGTGAATCAGGCTGCCAGCTGACAGGAGATATCGTGCACTTCAGAAAGAGTGCATGGGGAAGCACACGAGATGCTACTATCATGTGCGTGCATGGCAGCTTATCTATGATGTTGCGACTGACATATTTGTCTGGATACTCAGTGTCACAACGGTCAGAGGTTCCGTTCTGCAATATCAGCTCATTGTATGACCAGTGTCTGCAGGGTGAAAAGTGGGACAGCTTAACTCGCAACTGGTCAGCATGCATGTGAGCACAAAGAATGCAGCCCCATTAAATGATGTTATCTGCAGGAGCGATCATCAACGGATCCTGTCACAAATTCAGCTTTTTCTCATTGATAAAGTAAGCAATGTCATGATGAAATGAAACCGACTGACGTCTGGACCTCCCAGGTGCAAATTTTAAATGAGCACCGTGGGAGCACATTGAAAGTAATTATTTCATGTATGAAGATTCGTAGATCCTCTGTACGTCTTGTGGTGGTGTCTGCCACTGTCCTGAACATCAAGGATGTGGCCAGCTGGATCAGTAATGGAACTCCCAATGGCTCTGCTACCATAAAGAAGGTATGTATTTGTCAAGGGTATTCGTGCCGTGGTGGTGAATCGCTATTGATATGGATGCTATCATGATAGTTTGGAGAGGAACACCGGCCATGCAAGCTATCAAAGTTCATGTATGAGATACCGCAGAAGAGAGAACAGAACGACTTTGTATTCCAGAGGACACTCGATTACCACTTGTATGACATTCTCCAGCAACATTCTGCCAACAAGCCAATGCTGGTATTTTGCTCGACTCGCACAGGTTTGTTAGCTGACTCTGGGCTGAGATTTTCCAGCACTCATCTGATGTGTTCATCATCGTTAGGCGTGATGATGACCACAAAACAGATCTTGAAAAACTACGAAAATGTTTCGCATAACAAGCAGACATTACCTTGGCTTAAACCTCCTAGGTTTGTTCGTTTGACGGGCTTTGACATCAACTCACATATCTTTATTGCCATAGCATCAAGGCAAAGTTCGAAAATAGGGAGCTGAGAGGTGAGGCATACAAGTGTGACTGGCCAATTTTGTCTTAGTGACTTTTGTGCAGAGCTTGCAGTATGCAGGATAGGTGTTCACCATGGGGGCATGAGCATGGATGATCATCAGACAATTGAAGAACTATACATCAAGAAAATAATAAGGGTAGTTGTTTCGACGTCTGTAAGTCAAGAAGTTGCATGTGTTGTCTGTTCACGAGATTATTTGATGCGCGCAACTAGACCTTGGCGGTCGGCGTCAACCTGCGTACGTATGTCATTTGGACTGCTTTTTTCCTATGCTGAACAACCAGATAATTCGCATTATAGCTGCGCATACGGTCATGATCAAGGGTGTCAAGGTCTTCCGGAACAATACCTGTCAGGAGTACTCAGATCTGGACATCATGCAGATGATGGGTCATGCAGTGCGTGTGGTCATAGCCTATCCATATTTGATGGTCCAGTGATTCCAACACCTTCATGTCACTCTGCTGTGCATTCATCAGGGCTGACCTCAATTTGGTGCGCATTGTCGTATTGTATCCTTTGCAGACCCACTTATGCATTGATTATCGAAGACAAGGAAGATATCACTATCATCATGTGTGATGCTGATTTAGAGGCAAAGTACAAAGCTCTGGTGCAAGGGACGCAAGGTAACATGGTTCTGGAGAGTTGTCTGCACCTGAACCTCTCAGAGCACATCAACTTAGAAGTGGGACTCAGGACGATAACAGATCTTGATATGGCTAAGGAGTGGCTGCGCAACTCATTCCTTTATTGTAGCGTATGAAAAAATCCAGAATGCTATGCAATTGGGAAGGCCAACAATCAGATGTGGCAACAAACAATTGATGACATGGTCACCCGGAGCATCATCAGACTTCAGGATACCGGATTAGTCACCTATTCTGAGCATGAAGATGGTCAGTTGTGTTTCACGGAGTTTGGCAATATCATGAGAAAGACGAGTAGTGATGCTTTCTGACATGTTGTTTTCTGATGGAGTCTCTCCTCAGTTCTACGTGAAGCAGTCAACCATATGATTTATTAATGAATGGACAGCACTATCACTGACTCATATCCAGATGAAGCTCATCCTCAAGCTGCTAAACCGTGCCACCATCAGAGACATTGTCCATACTGTTGTCCATGTCTGGTGCAAATACTGATGCTCAATACAGCTTGAGGCAATCACGAGTGCAGAAGAGTTAGTATTTGATTCTGATGTGCCATAACAGCACCGTCGAATGCGATTTTGTTAGATTCTCAGACATCGGGCTTCGCGGTGGTGAGAAAGGGGTTAGTAGTTGCTCGCTATGAGCGATGTATCTGCAATTGACATCTCGGCCCCCAGGTGTATGACAAATTGCACGTACACAAAGATATTCGATATCAGATCAAGAAGATCGAGAAACCGGCGGACAAGATCTTCGTGTTGATACAGGTTGGTCTCAACACTTCTCAACAGAAGTAGTGATTTATGTCCTTTTCCAGGTCGTTCTGGGCTGCATGAGTGAATACACGTACCACGATAACAATACACCCGTAGAAGCATTTGCAATTTTCTGAGACAGTGTGCAAATTGCAAAAGGTGAGCGCTGATCTAACTGTTGCCTCAGCTTAATTCTTACCTTGTTTGGCCAGCTATCGTGGAGGTGGCGATTGTGACGAAGGCAGGCAGTTTACTCAAGAGTGGCCTTGAGGTGTCCGTCATCCGATCTGCATCCTGTGTCCTATTTTCTCACTGGTTTACACAGAATGCGCTGTTTCAATGCTAAGGCCTGGGAAGATCGGTACATGGTCATGCGGCAAGTCGAGCGCATCGGCGAGAAATCGTGCATGCTCATATTTTTTTTCCTTCTAACCCAACTACGCTGACAGTTTATCCACCAGTCTCAAGGTTTGTCATATCCTCATAAGCAGCTGAGGGCATCATTCATGAGAACAGGTACTTGTGAAGCACAATATCACCAGCATCGACGTGCTACGAAAGCAAGACCAGCTGTGCCTGGAAGCTGTATAACATCTCTTGAAACCATGTGTCCAGTTGCTGACTTGGATTTTAGCTGCTCAATCATCGGCCACCTTTTGGCCTCGAGGTACTTGCTGCCATGCAGCAGTTTCCTCAGTATACATTGCAAATCAGTGAAGTTGCCATATCCAGTCATGGAGACAAGAAGCCCTTGGAGGTCGAAATACTTGTTGACTGTGGGTTGCTCAATGGCACAGTGATTAAGCCGAAGAATGTCAAGACCAGGGAGGTGGACATGACAATGGTGCTCATCTTGACTTCGGACCTTGACATCATGGACTTTCGACGGTACCCGTGAGCCCTGACATTTCGGCTAATTCATTTGTTCCTGAGAGACATGTCAGGATGGAAGAACTGAAGGAAACCAAGAGGATCACGGTCAGTGTCCAGCTAACGAAGCCCAGCCAGTCGATCACTGTGTGCATCAGCTCAGTACGATCTTATGTGTTCCCATGCTCAGAATGTTTACGAGGTGATAGGAAACCATTGCTGGTGTGGCTGTGACCGAATGCTACAAGCTCAATGTTGGCACGAAGTACTACCCTAACATGCTCACGAGCGGAACGAACTTCATGGTAGAATTGTTGTCGCCTGTCTCCGAGGCATATAAATCCAATCATTATGCAACCACGAAGGATTTCCTGCTGTACGGCCTCGAGGACAATGTTGACTTCTGGAACATGGGCCCAGACGATGAGGATTCCGTAGAGGTGGAGTTACCGACAGCCAAATTGAAGCCACCGCCAGCCATTAGTAGCGAGTTCAACCATCAGTCTTTTGATCTGTCATTGACAATTCCTCAGAGCCCGCTGCTACCCAGGCCAATGTCTTCAAGCACTGTGAGGAGCAACAGAAGACGAGTGCCAAGATTGCTCCTCGTAACACTATGGCAACGATGCAAAACAGGCACAAATGACTACCAAATGGCAACTATGAGTAGGTTCAATCGTCATGTTGTGTTATGATCTATCTAGCATGCATGCTGTGCAGATGCAACCATAAGTGCAAAGACAAGAGAAATTGCCGCCATGTCTGGTGCGTGTTAACTCTATTTTCGTGGGGTCAATGTTTCTAAGTGGTCTTCAAGCTGCCATGAAGGTCTGCCAAAACCCCCTCCAATGTTGAAGAAGTGAATCGAAGCTCTGTGCAATGAAGAGAGCATCCAAAGCAAGCTCGAGAAGTTCACAGTCATGTCCGATAAGGGCTCGCGATGCACGGACTCTTCAAAGCCTAAGGCGACAACCAAGGTCAAGTCAAAGCCATGGGATAAGGTGGACGCTCAGCTGAAGCGCTTCGACGCTCTGCACGAAAAGACTAATGTCAAGGTGAATCTGAAATTATCTTCAGGGCAGCGCATCAAACTCGACAAATCTCTGAATACTTACGGGGAAGGGCTCAAGGGATGGTCTATCAGCTCTGGCTTGAGGTCTCTACGCATGGACAACAAGGCTGATACTGGCGACGATGTCATCTCTATTGATGACTCAGATAATGACTCAGACCTCCCAGAGCCTAGTGACGTATTGAACTCCTTTGGTGACGTATTGAGCTCCTTTGGTGATGGAGAGCGGAAGGGATGTGATGTCGCAATTCCTTCTAATGATACCACGCACTATTCTAACTTGGAAGTCAACGCTGCATTACGAGATACTCCCTTATATGACAATGAGAATATCAGATGTATGAATACTGGTTCTTCTATGCCACAAGCTTATGATAACTCTCCTCACACCGAAAACTGGCTCTGGAATACTCCAGCTTTGAAGGGGCAGAAGCAAAAAAAGTGAAGCCAATGAATCGCCTACCAATCACAAGTGCGCTAAGTTGGAACCCACACAACATGACAAAATGTTCAGAAGGCCACCTGCCAGCCCCACGCAATGAAAAGTATGTGTCGTTGAGATATGCGTATGAACATTTTGAATGTTCACGACAGTGGTCGCAGATTGACAAGGGTAAGCAGAAGGCAGAGCTGCTATTCTTGGATTCTTCCTCCGATGAGCATGGTCCTTCGGGCTGGCAGCAGGATGTGGAGGTGAAACAAGGCTCTCCTTGTCACTTTCAAGCTCCAGGTGATGAACCATTTGAGCTAGATCTTAATCTCTTCGAAATCGTCCTGGACACGTCTTCCTCGAAGACTTTGGCAACCTCTTGCAGTGCGTCCTATGAACAGTTACCTTTGACAGGCAAGCAATTCATCAATGATGCCATCAAGACACGTCTCGCTCACAGTGACATAGAGGTCGAGCTGCAAGCTTTGCATTCAATGACGAAACTCAGGAGGAGAATAGCTTTCAGAAGGATTTGAGGAGCTAGAGCTTGTGGCAATGTCCCTCTGTTGTCAGCATCTGCAACTATGTTCATAAGCGGCTGCTGTTGACTGCTATTGTCACTGCTTGACTTTGTTAACATCGTCTGTCTCTCGCTGTTCGTTGTGTGGCTGTTTGTCACACCTGAAACCATTTTTTTGTGTGAAAGGCTGAACTATCCGTACGAATCCTACATGCACAGTTCATCCCCCTATTGTATCTTATTGTTTCTCCTCTGTATATATATCGCAGACAAACATTCTTTGTGTTTCTACTCCATCGCTCTTGACATGTTCAAAACCACCGTCGGGCGTATCCACTGGTCATTCGGACCTGGGCATGGCCACGAACATGACCTGTGGGACCGTAAATCTCCCACGCTGAGACCATCAATGGGCTGCGACACGAAGGGTGTGAAGCCCTCGTGATCTGTCACACCCTGGGTCGGCTCCCTCCTCCTGTGGGCTCCTTATTCACCCCCTCTCTTCCTCTCTCAGGCACCTCCCTCCTACCATGCACTTCTCACCTACAAGCTCGCCATTCCGGCTACAACTTGACTGTGCTGATCCTATGCTGGCTACGACTTACAGCTGTATGGCTCACTCGACCATGCTGATTTAAGCTGGCTACGACTTATTCTGGCTATGACTTGCTCGACTGTGCTGATATCCATGCTGGCTACCCTATGCTGGCTACGACTTACCCGTACCTGGTTGCGACTCACGGGTGCAGCCTACAGTCGACTCAATCGACTCACCTTCAACTATCATCACCCATCAGTCCTTGCTTCTGCTCTACACATTTCCCACCCATCCCTGTGAAATAAGCACTGCACACCATGTCCATAGAAGAGAGCATCAGCCTGGAGGAGACAAACAAGATTCATATCTCCCTCGGCCTCAAGCCTCTGACCGACGATAGCGCTTCTGTGGATGACAGGGAGAAGCAAGCAGAGGAAAACTATGTGAAGCAACGAGAGAAGGAATCAAAAGAGCGGGAAGCAAAGGAATATAGGAGAATATTTTGAAGTGAGTGTACTTCTTTCTCGATGGGTGAGATGGCTACTTCTACCTTCCATTGGGTGACCAGGCCCATGCGCATCATCAGCGGAGATACTTATAGGACCGTCTGTCTAGGGTGAGAAATCGCCAGGAGCTCAATGCAAAGCTAAAAGGTTCCGCTCTCGGTAATGCCGACGGCGATGTAGACGACACTTTGAAGGGGATCAAGAAGAGCAAGAAGAGGGATAAAGAGCTTGCTAGGAAGAGGCAGGAGGAGCTTGAGGACATGGGCAAGGCATTTCAAGAAGACTGCACAGAAAGTGAGTTGTTATGCACTATGCTCGCTGTGTCATGTCCAAGAAGTGCTGTTTGTCAGAGAACCTCGCTGGCTTGAGAGTCAGCCATGACTTCGAAGGCATGGACGAAGGCAAAGCACATATATCAACACTGAAAGACAGCCGGATCCTCGACAATGAAGGTTTGTCATTCACGTGCATTGGAACCTGTGGCATACTAGCGTGTGATGGATGAACAGAGGATGAGCTGCAGAGCCTAGAAATGGCTGAGCACGAGTGCATGAAGAAGAAGAAGAAGCTTAAGATAAAGAGGTGGGACTACACTGGTTATAGTAATGAGAAGTTCACTCCTGGTGCAGCTGGTATGAAGCAGTCATTGCTGTTCAAATACGATGATTTCCTAGAGGGCCTGAAAGAGACTATATGTGTAATGATTCTCTCCCCATTTTCGCACCTTATCCACTATCTCTTAGGGATTTCAGTTAGGCACGAACATCACCTCTGCTCAGTCTAGACGTGATGAGCGGGAGCAGGCAGCTGCCACTGTGAATAAGTTCTTACTCTCTATGAACTACGCTAGTAAGTATTTGATGTCCTGATGGGACGGAAACTCAATGGTAAATGTAGAGAATATTGAATCGGAAGATTGCCTCAAAGAAGGGGACATCGGGTTTCAGAAGCCTAAAGTGAGTATTCGATTGATGTTCATCATCTCATTGCTAACAGATTCGCAATCTTACTTAGACAAAGAAGAAGAAGGCTTCTCGTCGAGTCCCGACGGAGGATCACGACATTCCTCAATGGTGATGATCAGATGCAGGTAGACAAGAAGCCGATTGTCCCACGACCTCATAATTGGACACAAATTTTGTACATGACAATGAGCTACAAGCAGCTGTTGCCCGTTCGTGCACAAAGAAGTTACAGAAAGCTAAGAAACTGTCTTCAGAGGACATTGCTAGACGAGGTGAGCAGCTCGATAACGTGACAGGTCCTGATGCTGAAGTATCACCATCCATAGTCGCTGAAGAACGCACGAGATCAGAGGTTTTGAACGAGGATGGTGTTATCACTATTGGGGAGGACGGTGATGTGGATGGCGAGAGTGGCTTGACTTTTGACGATACCTCAGAGTTCGTCCGTGCCATTACTTATGAGCCAACCTTGGTCAAGAAGGAACCTCCTGCTGCAACACCAGCACCAGTGCCCATGGAGATTACCAAGCCACGCTCACCATCCGTTGATGTCAAAATGGAGGTTGAGGAGGCCGTGGAAAGAGCTTGAAGCAGGTGAAGTGAGAGTCAAGGAGGAAGAGGATGACGAAGAGATGCTCAATGTGATCGAGAATGCGATCAAGAACACTGAAGCTGCTGAAAAGGCTGCCGCAGAGGGCATGGAGGTCCCTGTTGGTATGCTTACAGAGCAAATGTACAGCGCTGATCTGGCATCTACTTTGAACATCCTGCACCAGCAAGGCATCCTTGCTGCACCTACTTCCGACCAAAAGGAGCGAGACAGGGTACAGCTGCACAAACCATGCCACCAATCCATCTAACTTCTCCCTTCTGAATCCCAACATCCCCATCTGCTACAGTGACTCCACAGTGGACGTCCTCGAGCACGAGCTCCCTGACCAGGCCGCATGACTCGACCCGTGGCTCCAGGCCCTGTGGGAGCCCGAACACCATTTCGGTGACCGCATCTCCATCACCCTTCCCCCCCCCCTCTGACCAAAGAGGGATCTGCAGATTATTTACGTACATTCTTTTTTTCCCTCCTTCATTCCTACATTACCTCGCCCAATTCCCTATGGATCTTCACAGATGGATCCCAGGTAAACACCTCGGCAATGGCCCCACAACACCGGAGAGTGGGTGCAGGTGCGTGTATCATCCATCAGGGGGCCATGAAATATGAGCGGGCATGGGGCTTAGGCCATCACACCAAGGTTTACGATGCTGAATTATATGCTATGGCAGCAGTCGCCAGCCGCTTTGCCAGATTTCTGGTGACTTACCCCATGATCCACTGCATCTACCTCTGTGCAGACAATTGATCCACGCTCTCCAATATCCTGTCGCTGCGCTCGCACAGCGGCCAGCCCTTTTTAATTCGCTTTCAAGCACTTCTGGCTTCCCTCATGAAGTGCTACCCTCTTTTAACTATTTCACTGCTCTGGGTTCCCGGCCACCGTGATGTACTGGGAAACGAGGTGGTGGACCGTCTAGCCAAGGCATTTTTTTTTCATCCTACCCACATTGACGTGGTGCCGGTGCTGGGCATGAGAGCGAGCGACCACCTCCTGGCAAAATGAATTTTGCTTCACTGATCGTCCCACTGCTTTACGTTCTGCTTGGCTACATCAGCCATCTCAAAAGCTGCATCTCGTTTTTGTTACCCATTATTATGAACGTGACGTCGAGGCCAGGTTGACCCAAGCTCTAACCGGCTGCGACTACCTGGCTCCCTATTTCTCATCTCTTTACGGGACTGGAAACACTGCTTGTTATTTTCATGGTGCCCCTGTGTATGTGATCTGACCACTCCTAGCATGCACGAACACATCCTGCTGTGATCCCCCAAGCACGCACATGCCCGGCAGCTGCTCTTCCGCAACCCCAATCCCTCTACCTGGGACCTGAACCGTCTATGGGCCCATTGAACAGGCATCCTTCACCTCACCTCCTTCATTTCTGTAACCTCCTCCTTCATCCTGGATAGTGCACTACTGTCATCTGCAACCATGATTATACTATGAGGGAATATGTAGGCCACGTAGTTGTTGATAGTGCATTATAGTCGCTCATAGTATATTTAAGTTCCAGATGTTTTCTGGTCTCTGTGACCTTCCTCATCCTCACTCACAGTCTGTGCGTTGACACCTCTTCACATGGTTACCACATGTAATTATCCCTCTCAACCGCACATAGCGCGGTCTACAAATAAATGTACAAAACAAAAAGGTACAGCTGCAGCGTGACCTTTGGCTGGCAGACTATCACTGCATGGTCACTCAGCGAGAGCTGAAACGTGCCAAGATGCACGGGGGGAAACAAGGATCAGGCCACACGTGAGTACGAGAACCATCTTCGCGAACGGTAGGTGGCTTGACAGAACTTGGAGTCCTTCAAGAATTACAAGGCGGATGTCAACATCGTGTACTACGATGAGTTTGGACATGAGCTCACGCAAAAGGAGGCTTGGAAGGCACTTTCACACAAGTTCCATGGCTAGAGCTCTGGCAGGATGAAGACTTAAAAACGGTTGAAGGAAATCACAGAGGAGAAGAAAAAGAAGGCGATGGCCAGCGGAGACACGCCTTTGAGCATGAAGTTCCAGATTTGACAGGAGAAGGCAGGTCAGGCGCACTGTGTGCTGCCTGTTGGAAACAGAGGGTAAGTTCACTCCATTGTGCAGATATGTGGCCAATCTAATGAACTTCTGTTCAATGCCGTGCCTCAAGCTGCGGGATTTTTCGATGCCCAGCCATTATCAAAGGGCAAGATGAGAAAAGGAACAAAGAAAAGAATGCTGCTAAGTCCTCGATGCCACAGCTCGACTCATCCAGCTCGATGACACTGCCCTCCCCCATGGCCAATGGCAGCCCTACTTTCATGGGTTCCCAACTTTTATGGGTTTCCCGACTGTCATCTCTGGCGCATCGCCCACCAGCACCGGCTCTCCTGCGCCGCGGCCCGGGTTTCCGAGAATCTCTGCAGCAGCAGAGCCCTTCGCATCTTCAAAGGAAGGGACTCCTGTTCCGAGTGACCGCACGAAGCTGGTCATCGGGCTCAGCGTGAAACACAAGGTGGTAGGAGAGGCTGCGAGCTCGCCGCCTCCGAAAAAGTGGTAGATTTTGTGTGAACCATCTCTTGGAGGTTTGAATGGAGTAGATATGTGGACACAGCAGTGTAATGTCAGAGTTGTTCAGTAAACTACTATACAAACTGTGGGTTATACAGGTAGGATGATGTGCAGGTGAATGAAATTCAGACGGTCACAACACTTTTTATTCCCAGGTCCTTGATGACTGCACAATGGCGGTGGTCCAGCCCTGTTTCACTCTCCAAGACTTTAACAAGCGATGCTTGTCCATCATTGGTCCTGCAATGAGTTGATCAGTTGGATGGCATCTGCAGACCGTCGTGAGAGAATGCACCATTACACCACGTGAGCCTCCTTGTCGAGGATCAACTTAATGGTCGTCCACGAGAAGCGGACAAGCGAGGGAAAACCAAATGTCAGGTCCAGCGAGTTCTTGATCCATAGCTTGTGTCTTCGGGTCTACATGGCTCATCGCATTAGCCAATCACCTCGGCATACTTCGAACATTTATCAAATTAATAGCCGCTTCCTAACTCTTTGCTCCATCGTGGTTTTGTCTTCGATACGCCGCTTTCGCCAGCATCGGGTAGGGTCGTGCTCCTCGAAAATCCATCCCTCGACCCATGCATCGTGGGTGACCTTCGCAGCGATACTGGCGGCACCTACGATCTTGAACTTCGAGTCAGCCTTGGCAGTCACTGTGAAGTTGATGTTCAAAAAAATGGGAGGAGAGGTATGCCTCGTAGGTCTTCGTGGGGCCCAACACATCTACATATACCTGTGAGAAGCGTTTCAATATGAAATCGTAAATTTCGCCTGTTAGAAAGATGCGCTTGTGACAGCTGGATACCGCTTTGGAGCATTCCACGGATGAGGATGCTTGTAGCTTGCTCAGACTGATGGTTCAAGTTTGTCGGTGGCCGCCGAATCATATCACTTGAAATAGCTTGAGGACTGATGTGAAGGCATGATGGGCCGGTGGCACTGACAATCTGATGAGACTGGTTACGTAGCTGAGGGCCCGGATGGACCATTCTCTGGATCTGAACACAGGGTCCCCAAGTGCGCATCAGCAGTCAGTGTCTTCGAGTATGACGAAAAACTAGACAGTTCAGAAGCCATGACAGTCAAAGTGGACGTGACCGCCGACCTGCGAACCCAAGATCATCCAGATGCTCTTGATATGCCGCTGGGCAATATGCCACGCCGTATACCATTGGACCAAGAACAGGTCCTCTCCCCGCTTCATCAACGCCCATAATGTGTGGTCCAGGAGCGGTCTATCTATATAACCCGGGCCGAATGTAACATTCGGCCTCCCTCCGTGCGCACCTCCTAGCTCCTCGAGATCATGTCTTATCCTCTTGAAAACAATCTCATTTGAAAGCCCTGCTTCGATTCTCGGGGTTGCAAAAGGGTCGCAATCATTCGACGCAATGGGTCATGCGCGAAAGCTTGCGCAATCAGGTAAGTTTTTGCATTCTGTCAACTGTGACTAGAATATTTCTGAAAACTTGAGCAAGTGCTCTAAATTCTGTTTTTTTTGCGACCCCTATGAATGCATATCCTCCTCATCATATCATTATTTCAAGTATTATCACCGTCCGGTTTGTTTTCTATGCATTGTTCTTTGAGCTCGCTCGATAAGCGCCCGTTCAGCGCGTAGCTGATTTTATTTTTTTCTCGCCGTACATCCACTATCCCCTAGGCGCTGCTTGCGACCTCTCGCTATACCATTCACCTATATGTATGCCAAAAATCTCCACGAACGGAGCCCTTTGCGACCCTCCAGGACCTGTACTTAGATCTGCTCTTGCTGCCGTTTTCACTTCCCAATCGGGGACTCGCGCCTGTTCCCACTTCTCACCTCTCGCCTCTCGCCTCTCTATCTCGGACCTCAGCCTTCCTCACCGCGCATTCCTTGACATTTTCAAGTATCGTACGTGACCTTGAAGGGCGGAGAGGCTGTTGTTCATATGTGCGATCGGACGTTGAGGTCGTCAGGTAAGTTATCATTTCAGACTCGCAAAGCTAACAACATTTTGCTTTTTTACCAGTCTCGACGACCGACCGCACTGTGTTGTTCACGCTGCGGTCTCTAGTCGATCTTTCTCCTCTTTCCTCCTCTGGAAATCCGAGTTGTACTCGGAAATCCACGCACTTTTCAACCTTAGACTTCGATAAGAACGTGGTCGCTCTTCCCCAGCGCGCCGTCTTCGACTTCGCGGCAACTACGAGCATGCCCACACGTACTGAACGGCCACGGTCCTCTCTGTTGCCCACGGCATACGAATGCGAGCCCGCGCTGTCGTTCACCCCGAACCATCGCCCTCCCAGCACCCAACGCGTCAAGCTGTCCATGCAGACCCACCTCATCTGCCGCCCACTCCCTTGCCCGATCACTGTGGCTCACGAATGCTCGAACGCATGCAGGAGATGTCAACCCAGTGGTGGCGGCACTCCAGGAGGAGGGAGGGAAGGTTGGATGGCATTGGATGGGTGCCGTAGGTGAGTCGCGGTTGCCCTGTATCGTGCGTCGCCCCAGGACGCATAGATTTACCTTCCAGTCTCCCCGCCTCTCGTTTGATCAACCCACTGCTGTCTGCCGACCTCGATGGCATGTGCGAATGAGCCTACGTGAGGCATTGTGCACCCGCGCTCCGCGTATCCATTCTCTTCTCGCCCTTCTACAGCGGCCAGGAGCGTGCGCGTGTCCTTCACCACCACGGCACGCGAACTGGCCGCGTTCTCTGTTCGCCACCACTGCCTTCCCAACGCCCGACGTCATGCGCTGATCGTGCAGGCCTGCCACATCTGCCACCCACTCCTCTCCGATCACCACGGCTCTCGAGCGCGCGGACGCTTACAACAGATGGCGACCGGGCGGCGGCACTATAGGAGGAGGGACGGTTAGGTTGGATGGCATTGGACGGGTGCCCCAGATGAGTCTTCCGGTATTGCGCATCGCCCGAGGGCACATATATTGACCTTCTAGACACCTCCGCCCTCGTTCGACCGCCCTCGCGCGCTCTGCCGACTCGACGACTCTCGCATGAGCCCACGCGAGGCATCGTGCGCCCGCGCTTCTCAAATTGCCCCTCTCTTGTCGCCTTACACAGCGACTAGCCGCTCGCTCGTGCGTGCGACCCCCCCCGCGTTCTTCGTTCCTCGCACTGCCTTCCTCACGCCCTACACGATGAGCCGATCGCGCAGGCCTGCCCTATCTGCTGCCCATGCCCTCGCTCGATCAGCACGGCTCACGAGCGCACGGACGCATGCAAGAGATGGCGACACGGCAGCGGCGACACCGCAGGAGGAGGGCAGATAAGATGGACTTTGTGGGTGGGATGCCACAGGTGAGTCCCGGTCGGCCTGTCGCGCGTCGCCTTAGGGCGCATGCGCTCACCTTCCAGACTTCTCCCCCCCTCTCTCGTTCGACCGCCCCAGCAATCCCTGCAGGCTTGGAAGACCTACGCACGAGCCCGGATTTCGCTCAGGCCTGCCCCATCTGCCGCCTACGCCTTCGTCCCTTCACCACGACTCACGAACGCGCAGATACATACGAGATATGACGATGCGTCGGCGGCGACACAAGAGGAGGGCGAGTTGGTTGGAGGGGCGCCGCAGGTGAGTACCAGTCTATTTGTATCGCGCGTCACAGCACGGCGCATGTAGTCAGCGTTACCAGAGCCTCCCCCTCCTTCTCACTCGACCACCCCGACGCGCTCTACCGACC